CTGCCTCACTGACTGCCCCACAGCACATTTCTTTAGTTTTTGAGATATTCAGCCCCAGGTGAAAGTCTCCAAATGTCTGTACCAGATTGCTGACCGCCTGCTGATATTTAGACCAGTCCTCCGATGTCTTTACTGATGCCACCAGTGCCATGTCGTCTGCGTACTTATACAGGGCCATTCTCTCACTATGGCCCCGGATGTTGTTTGTGTAGACTGAGAAAAGCACTGGAGACAAAACACAGCCTTGTGGCAGTCCAATGCTGATGAGACTTTTCGTGGATTTAAATACTCTTAAAAATTCTTGTTGTGGCCTGTCTTTCAAAAAGTTGTTGATCAATAAAAGCAGCGTTGTGTGGAGATGGAGATCTGAAAGCTGTTCCGGCAAAATGCTGGTGTCTACTGTATTAACTGCAGAAGACAAATCCATGAATAAGATTCTTGTGTATGGTTGTGTAGAGTCCATGTGTTTAGTGACAGCATTTAGAAGTGTGAGACTTGCATCCTCTACACCACGTCTTGCCTTGTAAGCAGATTGTAGGGGATCCAGCTGGTCCGAGATTAATTTTGTCAAGTGTCCTCCCACTACCCTTCCCATGCACTCGCACAGAACTGATGTAAGGGCCACAGGTCTAAAGTCCCCCAGTTCTTTTGCATGAGCTTTCTTGGGGATCGTAATTATCACAGATTCTTCCCATTGCTCTGGAACACAGCCAAAGTCCAGAAGGAGCTGGAAGAGTCTGGTGAGTACCCCACCTAGCTGGGTGGAGCATTCTTTCAGAACCCTGCCACGGAGCCCATCAGGGCCAGAGCTCTTGAATGGGTTGATGCAGCGCAGGATGGTGGTGACCTCCTCCTCGCTGATTGTTAGCGCTGGATCAGTGAGGCTGGGGGGGGGGGGAGACGTTCAGCTGTTCTGCCAACGAGATGGAGTCATGGCAGTTGACCTGCGGGATCTCGGGGTCTCTTCCCATCATGATGTTCAGGCCCTGCCATGCCTTACGAGCATTTCCAGATGTGAGTTGGTGCTCCACATTCTGTGTTTGTTTCCTTGTTACAAGGATGGCTTTCCTCTGAAAGTCTTTCTCCAGCACCCTTACACGCTCATGGTCCTTCTGAAGGAAGGCCCGTTTCTTCTCCACCAGGCACATTTTAAGTTCCTTTGTGATCCACGTTTTGTTGTTTGAGTGTATTTTTATTTGCTTGGTAGTGGTGACTATTTCTTCGCAAAAGAGAATATATGAGGTCCTTACATCCGTCAGCGTGTTCAGATTGTTTCCACGGTCATTAAAAAATACGTCCCAATCGGCCATTTCAAAACAGCCCTTTAATGCTTCACTCGAATCCTCGTTCCAAACTTGGATAATTTTTGTTACCACTTCCCCGGCCTTCAGTTGTGACCTGTATTTTGGTAGTAGTAAGAGTACATTGTGGCCTGATCTACCAAGAGGTGGGCGTGACTTTGAGATGTATGCATTTGGGATGTTGCCATAACACTGGTCTAGTATCTTGCTCCCTCTTGTGGCTGTTGTGACATATTGCCCTAGATTAGGTAAATATGTTATGATGTTGCATTTATTAAAGTCTCCCAAAAGAAATACTGGCTGATCTCTGGTTCTGTTGACAGCCCTGTTAAAACTATCTGCTATGGCGTCAGCAGCTAAGTTAAAATCAGGGCCCGGCACGTAGACCAAGATGACAGTGATTTGAGTAAACTCACGTGGGAGGTAGTGTGGTCTAAAAGACACTGTTAAAAGTTCGTAATGTTCACAGTTCTCAGTCTCTCTTACTGTGTAGTTGGTTGCCCACCTGCTTTTGACAGCCATGCAGAGGCCACCCCCAATCGTCTTCCTTGTTTTGGTTGCGTCTCTGTCCAGACGAATGATGTTATATCCCTCCAGCTGGAAGTCAGCGTCCGCTGAGAGCCAGGTCTCCGTAAAACAGTAGAGGCTGGTCTGTTTGTAGTCCTGATCATACTTCAGAAGTGTTGAAAGTTCACCACTTTTGTTGCGTAGGGAGCGCACATTTGACAGTGCGATAGCGGGTAGCGGAAGCCTACTACCTCTTCTCCTCATTCGGTTCCGTATGCCTCCTCTTGATCCTCTTTACCTGCATGTGCGCCGCCGCCGTCGTCTCCCCCGAAGTAACTCCAGTGGTATAATATTCCTTGAAGGGAGGTCGCAGTCCCCGGGTGTGATCGATTTAGCGCCAGCAGGTCTCCCCGCGAGTAGACAAGCCTTCTTGGATAAGTGAGGAGAGGCTGAGTTGTCTGTGTGCAGAGTCCATTTAGCGGGGTAAAACGTAATCAGGAACCAAGAAATGGCCACATACAGCGCGTTAGTTCCAAGCATCCTGTTAAGCGTACGTGGTCTAAAACAGGTGTACAAAAACATCAAACATCTTATCAAACAGAGGCAAACAAAGCCATTCACACCGAGCTGTGTCAGGAGTCGCTCACAGGGTAGCGCCTCCCTGCATCCTCCAATTAAATCCTCCAATCATGCATGGTTGAAAGGAAACTAGACACTCAAGGAAATAGCTCGCAATGTGGGAAAAGATGAGGACGCTGTTAAAAAAATGCTGGAATGCCATGTTGTAAACAACAGTAATTTTTACTTCTACTATGATGTAGTGGTGGATGCATGCTGTAGAGCTCCATGCTGTCCCCTACAGTTTGGGAGAATATTGGCTCACCGCAGAGACAAGCCGCATGAACCATAAACGCTGCAAGTTTAGAAGCGCGTTCCGTCCGCGAGCCGCATCACCAAGCGGAAAGTAAATGCATCAAGCATAAACCAAGCTTATAGAGGAGCGGATGCTACACTGGCTGTGTCCTACATCTTTGTAAGGACCTGTCCTACCGGGTCCACGAAGGTCAGATCATTCGCTAAGAACAGGAGTGAGCTACTGAGCAACCTGCAATGAATCCAGGGGTAGCACTGCCAGCAAGGGTAGTTGAAATCGGAGGAAAACGAGGACGAATTTCAGGATGTAATCAAGTATCCTTCAGATTTAGATAGCCATGTGGCTTTGCTGTGACAAACTCTAAAAAGCATACTTGGAAGGATGAAGCCCCTAGAACTGTGACATGTTCTAAGGTATTCCCGATTTTCCTTCCATTGATGCAACATTCCTGTCTCAATTTTCATTATTTTTATACATTGGGATTTTAATGAATATGGAAGCTCGTTCCCACCACTGAAAATAAATCATTTCATAATTATGACTTAGTTATCTCATAACACTGAGGCCTAGTCCACACGTAGCCGTTTTTTTTTTAAAACGAATATCCGCCCCTCCAGAAACTTGCATCCACACCACCTCGTTTTAAAAAGAAAACTCTGTCCACACGTACCCGGATAAACACGTTGTTAAGGACATGCCAGACCTGTAGGCGGCAGTACTTCCCCGTTCTTAACCACGTCCTTCGTCTGTGGTCTTCCGCAAGGAGCAGTAATTCCGCTTGCAAAAACAAACAAGCAAAAAGCGCTTGGACAATTGATAAAGCGAGTGCAGCTCTGAGGGCATCCATGCTGTCGGCTAGTGTAAACACAGGTCGCACACGTGATGTCAGCATTTTTTTGTCGCGGAAAGTGACGTTGCGGACCTTAAAACTCCGGTTTTGTCTGTCCACACGCAGACACCCAAAACGGAGAAAACGCAGATCTTCACTTTGGCCGGAGTTTTTAAAAAGATCCGTTATCGTGTGAAAAAACTCAGTTTTCGTGTGGATGACAGGCCAAAACGTAGAAAAATATCTACGTTTTGGCAGATCCCCGGCTACGTGTGGCCAGGGCCTAAGATAGCTAAGTCATAATTATGAAATCTCATAAATATGACTAAGCCAGAGCCTCGCTGCAGAGGCATGGCATCACTTGGCCAAGGCCAACTCTCTGATCACTGCAGGCTCTCACCGATGGAGCTCTCTGACGGAGACTACAGAAACTCCAGCTCGGGAAGTTGATGAGCGCTTCGGGAAGATGATGAGCGCTTCACCTTAGTCGCTTTTTCTGGCTAAACGTGCCAGCAAACTTTAGCTTCAGTTAGCTTAAAGATACTAGCACTGGAGAACTGAGAACCTCAGCTCCAGCTTTTTTTTTTGTATCGTTTTGGGAGTGTCAAGACATGTGACACGACCAAAATGGCGGTGATCGGAACCGCCCACTAGGCTTCATCAAGGTCAAGTCGCCTCATGAGGGCTTTTCTATCTTTTTTACAGTCATTGATTTAGAAGCAGGTGTCTTTGGGGATGCTACATCATGTAGAATAACTGGGCTGGCTACATATTTCCCCCACTTATTTTACAAAAGGGAATATGGCAACGGACAAAATTGTACTTATGGAGAAATATCCCTTTAAGTTTTTCAGCTGGTTAACTCGGACTTTATCGCAAGGCAGCCATTAGCTAAGAAACCCGCTAACTCACCAATGCCGCCAAAATTAGCTCACTGCTTCCATTCACGTCCTCCGAGCGATCCATTCCACTTCAGCTGGAGTTCTTCAAAGATTTGGAGAGAAGAAATGTTAACAGAATGAGCAGCTGGTGCCGTTTTAGCCCCGTTAATATCTCACAACCACTCATTTCCGTTAGCTAACCGTGCCGCTCAGTGATGGTGGGCGGCTCTTAAAATTATTGTCCTCCAATCAGCAGTCCTCAAATTTTCAAATAGCCAATAATAAAGAAGTCTCTGTCTGCGGTGACTGATCAAGGCGTCTGAATCGTTAATAATAAACCCAACATTTAACTAAACTATTCATCAGATTAAATTATTTGACTTTTATCATTATTTTTTGTCAGCAGTGACGCTGTTGTGCGTTTCAAATTCAACTTTCCGCAGTTGGCTGCTGCCACCTGGCGGCAGGATTGTCTCGATCTGCTCTAGACATCTAGTGGGATTTGTGATCGTCCAACATAATCTGTTGTGTTTTATCTGGATCTTTTACTGTAAAATATGTAGAATTCAAATTTAAAACTTGTTTGATAAAAGAAAAACACGAGAAGCTTCAGATTTCTGTTTATGTTTGAACCAATCAGTCAGGAATAAAACACACACTTCATTAAAAAGTTAAAGGAAACTTTTTTTTGTTTCTTTTGAGACTCAAACAAACAAAACGACTCAAATGATTCAGGAGGTGAATCAGCTGCTGCCTCCCTGGAGTCCAGGAACAGACTGATCCGGATGGAGGATCTGGAAGCTTCTGCAGGCTGTACATGAACCGGGTTTCTGAACCTAGAACCCGAGCAGGTCCTGCTAAATACACTGACAGAAATGGTTCCCGTAGGTTTCAGATGGATTCCTTTGACATTTCGGCCAGGAGGCTGCAGACGGATCACAACCATCGTCCTGTTGCTTCTAAAACATGACGTAGACGTAGTGAGTGGGCCAAATCCAAATAGCAGAACATCAGACAGAAGCTGAGCGTTCTGCTGCTCCTTAGCCCTCCGTCCATCAGAACTGGTTCTGATTGGACCTGAACTCAGTAAGAGTACTTAAGACTTTAAACACCATCAGGTTCTGTGGTTCTGGTTCTACGGCAGACCCATAAATACAGCAAGTGGTTCAGTTCTGTCCCAGATTAAACAGGAGTTTAGTCTTCGGTCTGTTCAGCAGAGCATGTGACTGATTTGAAGCTCTCTGATTGGATGTTTGTTGCCGAGGTGCATCCTGGGAGTTGAATCCGAAGTTAGAACCTGGGTTTGGTCTAAAGGACCTGAATCCTGGACTCCGGCCTTAGCACACGGACCGAGGAGCAGAACCCGGTTCTGTCTGAGGAAGATGGGAACGGATCAACAATCTCCGCCCCCCCGATCGGACCGATGGGCAGCAGGAAGTCACACATCAAAAAACACTGAAAAAATATCACCAGAATATAACTGGAAGTCCCATCATCCTCTCCTCCTGCTGTGGTCACGACAGGTGTAAGGCAGCCAATCAGAGTCCAGCCCTCAGGTGCGCCTCCTCTTGGCACCTCCTGGGCTCACAGGGTTGGAAGACGACAGCAGCTTCTCAGCCGCTCTGCTCCTCTTCCTCTTTTCTGCCTCCTTTGAACCTCCTCCTGCACCTGCTCCTCCTCCCCCTGTTGCTGCTGCTCCTTCTCCTCCTCCCTTCTCCTTTTCGCGCTCTTTCTCCTTATCTCGGCTGCTGCTCGTTCGCTCAGACATCTTCACAGACGAGTTACTTCCTGCAGAGAGAAATAACAACAAACTGACACACCCAGGCTCGTGATTTAGGAAGGTCAAAGTTCACCAAGCCTGGTTCTGTTCCTAGATCTGGACCAGGGCCGGGTCAGAAGTCTGACTGGGTTCATCCATCTACAACTTTACCTTCTTCATGAGTGGCAGGAGGTTCTCTCTCAATCCTGAACTCCTCCTTGGTCTCCTCCTCTGATCCGTGCTTTCCTGGAACCACAAGAGACCACATCGTGACCGGGCTCGGATCCGACCTCCTATAGGAGCCAACCCTCACCAGCTACATGATTTTAGCCTCAGTCTCACAATCCAGACAACCAGACTAAAGACTTCTGATCAGAACCGGTCTGAAACTGGGTCAAAAACCTGTCTAAGAGCTCCTGATCTTAGGAAAAAGGATGGATGAGGACTAGCGCTGTAGTCTCAGCATTTCCCACCTACCTCCTTTAACTTCCTGGATGATGTCATCAGGTAGAGAGAAGCTCTTCTCTGTGTTTGGAAATGGCAGAATCTCTGATTCATGCTGCGACACACAAACAGCAGGGTCAGCTTCAGCAGCGATGGGGTGTGTGTGTGTGTGTGTGTACGTACCAGAGCCTGCATGTCATACATGGTTCCCAGGTGGTCCCAGATGACGGAGGAGGACACCTGGCGGCCAATGTTCTGACTGAACTTATCTCTGATGCAGATCATGTGGAAGTGACGGTTCACACCTGAAACCAGACACACATCCCATCACAACAACTACGCACAGTGTGTGTGTGTGTGTGTGTGTCACACACAACATGTAGTTGGCAGTATGCTCAACACTTTCACAATAAAATGGCCTGTATTTGATACAGCACCCTCTAGAGTCCTGGAGTGAAAAGTAAAACGTCGATCCTGATCTTTTTCTTCCTATTTAGGGACGGTAATGTGAATAATTACATCCAGGAAGGAAACTCCCGCAGGAAACACAGTTTGAGGTTTTGTGGTGACCACTTGGAGGCAGAACCATAACTTTAAGACACATTGGAGTAATTCTGGTTTGAACTAGGGATACACGATATATCAGCATCAATATCGGTATCAGTCCGATAAGTAAAACTGGGCCGATATTAACAACAGGTATATTTTCAATCTTGTTTGTGTATCTGTTTCAGAGGGTGAGGGGATGAGGATTGTTTAGTCATGTGACAGTGATGATGGTATCGGTATCGGCCCAAAAACTTGATATCAGTGCATCCCTGGTTTGAACCAGTTTGGGTTCTGCCCTCTGCACATCTGGGTCTCACACAGCTGCAGTTCTGGACGGTTCTGCCCCAGATACCCGCCACCGTGTCCGTGTTTTAAACCCTGAAGCACGGTCGCTGGGTTGGTGACATTGTCTGTTTACACCGAAGCTCAGAATTCCCCCACAGAAATGGTGAAAATCTGCTGCAACTGCGCACGCTAACTGGGTTGGTGAGTTCCGGAGCCTCTGGTTGTTTGGGTTTGGCCGCTAGTTGCTAGCAAATGCTAACATTAGCTGCGGTTTCTTACCGACCGGTTTGTGTCCGATCATCGCGTGGAACAAACAAACCTCCACCTCGTGGCTCCAGACCACCGAGTCCTCACCGGGAACCAGCCCCGAATCCGGGGGCTTGTCGTCGGTCTGACTCAGTGTTACATCTGCTTCCCCCATCTTTAAACCTGACTAAACAGGCTAACAAGAGAGCCGTCTGCAACCGGAACTGGGATGCCACTTCCGGGAACTGCTTTTCAAAATAAACAGGTAGCGTTTCCTGAAGTTAAACCTACTGGTTTGTGGAGAAAAACAACAAACGCGTTTTCCATAAACTCTCTTCATACTTGCATAAATACGACACGAGTCGTGGGACTGCAACATAAGGAGGAAGTCTGGAAGCAAGCGGGAGTTTTCAGCTTCTAAAAGGCGTGAACAGAATGGCCAACATGCAGGAGCTCCTGATTCAGATTCAGATTTCAGATTTATTGGCCAAGTAAAATTACATTTACAAGGAATTTGGCTTCGGTAGATGTTCGCTCTCTAAAACATACAACAACCACAATAAATGAGAATAAAAATACCTAAAAACAAATAAGAACATGTATACCCACACACATGTTCATCTACACACACACATATATACATACACACACATATCCATAAGCATACTGAATAAGTATTAAAACCTATAATAAAAGGATGGTAAAATAATCTACAGATTCAGGAGAGAAATGGCTGAAGGAAACTGTTCTTGTGTCTGGTAGTTTTTGTGTACAGCGATCTATGTATGTATGATGTGATCTCTACCATCTCTTTGACCACCATCATCATCTACGATCACTCTGACCATGCAGGCTTTTATACTTGTGCCTTTATGCTTCTTTGATCATTGGAAGCTGCTTCTGCAGGAAGTCTGTCGCCATCTGGTGGCAATTTACTAACATTACAGCATTCGTGCAAAAGAATAAACGTTTCTAACATTATCTGATGGGAGAAAACAATCTTTATTATGATTTCTTAATCTAGACAAAGCCCCTGTGTGTTTGTGTCTGCAGCCATCAGGTCCGAGCTGTTACTGAGGGATTCAGGGCTCCTGCATGAACCAGAGGAACAATCACAACAAAAGAACAGAGATCCCACCATCAGCTTACCACCACAAACAGGACAGGTTCAATTATGGAATACTAGAAGCTGAAGTAAGGAATTTCTTTCTGAACAGGCCTGGATTGGTTTGTCCTTTGATGTGGTGAACTGGAAGTGGTCGCCGGCTGAAAAAGGTTTATTCACAAACTCGCGGACAAACTTCAGATACTGGCCATCTGGAGAACCAAACAGCATTTGGTACGAGGCACAGTGCACTCATATGTATGACAACGGACTTTGGGACGACGCTCCGTGTGAGTGGCTCTATAAACCCATCTGCTCCAGCGTCAGCGGTGAGATCTTCAACAAGCACACGTCTGAGGTTTTAGCTCGGCTTGTATAGAATAAAGACTCTGATATTAAACCTGGGCTTTAGCTACGCAGGAAGAAAAGTGGCCGTCTGCCGCTTTGGCAGTCAGCCCAGCATCCCTCACATTTAAAGCGCCTTTGGGCAAGGCACTGAACCTTCCGATCTGTGAATCAAGGCCAAGGTCAATTTTACTTACAGAGCGCATTTACAGCAGCAAAGCTACACCCAAAGCGCTGTACAAGGTAAAACAGATCAAGATACAACAGATCAACAATAAAAACCTAAAATAAGATGAGCACACAACAGTCACAATCTAAAACTGTTAAAAACTATTAAGATGCTCAAGTCAGCCTGCATTAAAAGCCAAATCAAAAAATTGCGTCTTAAGAAGGGATTTAAAATGCTCTAGAGGTGTGGTCCTGATGTTGAGAGGTAGCTTGTTCCACAGTTTGGGCCCAACCACAGAGAACGCTCTGTCGCCGCGAGTCTTGTGGCGGGTTTTTGGAACTGTTAAAAGAGCTTGAGAGCTGGACCTCGTGGTTCTGGCAGGGACGTAAGCGGACAGCAGCTCAGAGATGTAAACTGGGGCCAGGCCATGAAGGGATTTAAAAACAAAAAGTAAAATTTTGAAACGGATCCTGTAAGAGACAGGAAGCCAATGGAGAGAGGCCAGAACCGGGGTTATGTGATCCCGCTTGCCGGTTCCAGTCAGCAAGTGGGCCGCTGCATTTTGGACCAGCTGAAGTCGGTGTAGGGAGGACTGGTCCAGACCAGAATGCAGTGTTTGAATGTGAGAGAATGAATATTTTACCGCATTTGGGAAGTCTAGCAGACTAGAAAGGTTCATACAAATACTTCACTGCTTCTACACAAACACCTAAAAACAGAGTTTGACTGAATTTGTGGTTTTGTCTGTTTTGACCGGTGTCAGAGCTTGGTCCACATTACCGACAGTAAGTCGAACTCATTCCCAGTGAGAGTTGGACTCCGCCAAGGCTGCCCTTTATCACCGATTCTGTTCATAACCTTTATGGACAGGATTTCTAGGTGCAGACAAGGTGTTGAGAGGATCTGTTTTGGTAGCTTGAGGATCAGGTCTCTGCTGTTTGCAGATGATGTGGTCCTGTTGGCTTCATCAGAACGTGATCTCCGGCTCTCATTGGAGCGGTTCGCAGCCGAGTGTGAAGCAGCTGGGATCAGAATCAGCTCCTCTAAATCTGAGACCATGGTCTTGATTCGGAAAAGGGTAGAATGCCTTCTCCTGGTCAGGGATGAGGTCCTGCCCCAAGTGGAGGAGTTTAAGTATCTCGGGGTCTTGTTTACGAGTGAGGGAAAGCTGGAGCGTGAGATCGATAGGTGGATTGGTGCTGCATCTGCAGTGATGCGGGCGTTGTACCGGTCTGTCGTGGTGAAGAGAGAGCTGAGTCAGAAGGCAAAGCTCTCGATTTACCGGTGGATCTACGTTCCTACCCTCACCTATGGTCATGAGCTTTGGGTAGTGACCGAAAGAACGAGATCACGGATACAAGCGGCTGAAATGAGTTTTCTCCGCAGAGTGGCTGGGCTCTCCCTTAGAGATAGGGTGAGAAGCTCGGTCGTCCGGGAGGGGCTCGGAGTAGACCCGCTGCTGCTCCACATCGAGATGAGCCAGTTGAGGTGGCATAAATGGCCGAGCGCATTCCCAAGCTGTAGTTGGGCCTTTATTGGTCTTGAAAAGATAACTAATAATAGTTTTATATCCGACATGTTTGATTAGACATTGCAACCTTATGTTAGACCTGACCTATGACCTGAGAGAGGGATAGGCGCTTCCCCCGGAATCTCCACCTACGGTGGTCGGACAATTTTACAAACATCAGAGAACGCACGAATGGTGATAAAACCACAGATACCCGTTGCTAGTTTTGGTCCAACTAGGACCGAGCAACAACTGCTAGTAAAAACTCCTGTGTGTGTGTGTGTGTGTGTGTGTGTGCGTGCGTGCGTGTGTGTGTGTGTGTGTGTGCTCTGTCTTCTCCATCCCCAGTGAGTCATGGAGGATGGCTGCTTATACCGAGCCAGGATCCTCTGGAGGTTTCTTCCTGTTAAAAGGGAGTTTTCCTCTCCACTGTCGCTATATGCTTGCTTAGTATGAGGATTGCTGTATAGTCACTGACACTAGTCAGTGACTTGATGCGACCTGCTGGGTTCCTTATATAGGAAACATTATTTCTGATTGGCTTAATGAACTGACCTGAATTGGAATGTTTATTATGTGAAGTGCCTTGAGACGACTCTTGTCGTGATTTGGCGCTTTATAAATAAACTTGAATTCAATTGTTTTTTTTAGATAGAGCAGATTAAAGATGGTCAGATTACAGAAACATTGGGTGTAATAGCCCTTTAGCCATTTCCCAATAGGAAACTGGAAGCTTCAGCCTCGTCTCTCCTGTGACTGGAACGTTCTTGAGGTGCTTCGGAGATTTTCAGAAGGGCAGAATGGGGACTAAAGCCAGCTTCATCATCTTGCTTTGTGATCAGGTCTTACTGTGCAGCAGCATGCAGTAAAGCAGCAAAACACCTAAAGGTGTTTTCATGAAGAAGAGCTTCAATTGAGGAAAATGCTTACTGTTCTGCACGTAGAGGACATTTGTTTAATTTATCAGATGTTCGGACTGGAGAAGAACCACAGCAGCACCTCCACCCAGTAACAAAGGGACTCATTAACCAGGCAAACTTCATGGAAATAAATGAAGCTGAAGAGGAAACAAATACCAGAGGAAGGAAACATCAAACACTTTTAATAAACTACCCCGTGTTTAAAAAGGCGGTTGTTTTAGTCAAATATATCAATTAGGATGATTTTTTATTCACAAGTTGTAATTTAAAACTTTTCATTGATGAATATAACACAAGAGTCGGAGACTTTCTAATAAAATCAACAAGAAAAGAGAGTTTACGTCTGTGGTGGAGCCCGTTTGGGCCGCACCAGCCGGGCTGTTGAGGGTTGGAGCTGCAGGGACACAGGAGGACACGCGGATCTGACCTGGAGTCAGCTGATCTGCAGCAACAATACAAATGATTGTTTATCTCTGGTTTCAGTGACATCATCTGGAGTTTTTCACATTTAAATAGATAAATGAATAAAAATCCACTTGCCTGATGCTCCGATGAGGCAGAGAAGAATTTTCTCCATCCTCCTTCAGTTCCTTTCTCCAGTTTCTGACTTTCAGCCCAAACACGCAAATAGTGTCGCTGAGAAGTTTTGCATTTCAGACGAAGGTTTATTCTGACGCCTCTGGAGGAATCCCGACTGATCAAACAGCTTTTAAATCCCAAATGTCTCATTTGACTTCAGACGTGTCGCTCCTTTACATGTCCTCCCTCTGAGTCGGCTGGTCCAGAGACACTGTCCCCAGATCAGCTGGTCCAGAGATGCTGTCCCCCAGATCAGCTGGTCCAGAGACACTGTCCCCAGATCAGCTGGTCCAGAGATGCTGTCCCCAGATCAGCTGGTCCAGAGACGCCGTCCCCAGATCAGCTGGTCCAGAGACGCCGTCCCCAGATCAGCTGGTCCAGAGACGCTGTCCCCAGATCAGCTGGTCCAGAGACGCCGTCCCCAGATCAGCTGGTCCAGAGATGCTGTCCCCAGATCAGCTGGTCCAGAGACGCCGTCCCCAGATCAGCTGGTCCAGAGACGCCGTCCCCAGATCAGCTGGTCCAGAGACGCTGTCCCCAGATCAGCTGGTCCAGAGACGCCGTGCCCCACAGCAGCTGGTTCAGAGACACTGTCCCCAGATCAGCTGGTTCAGAGACACTGTCCCCAGATCAGCTGGTCCAGAGACACTGTCCCCAGATCAGCTGGTCCAGAGACGCAGTCCCCCAGATCAGCTGGTCCAGAGACGCCGTCCCCCTCAGCAGCTGGTTGAGAGACGCTGTCCCCAGATCAGCTGGTCCAGAGACGCTGTCCCCAGATCAGCTGGACCAGAGACGCTGTCCCCAGATCAGCTGGTCCAAAGACGCTGTCCCCAGATCAGCTGGTCCAGAGACATAGTCCCCAGATCAGCTGGTCCAGAGACGCTGTCCCCAGATCAGCTGGTCCAAAGACGCTGTCCCCAGATCAGCTGGTCCAGAGACATAGTCCCCAGATCAGCTGGTCCAGAGACGCTGTACAGGAGGTTTGGGGGTTATTGTTGGCAGCGCTGCAGCTGCTGTTGTTTGGAAATGAAAATAAACAAAAAACAACAAATTACCTCACTATCCACAACAAAACTCCACAATATTTAAGAGATAAAACTCGGCTGATCGGGCTGACATGCTGACACTGAAGTATTCATCCGCAACCAAGTCTCTTGCTAGCTTCCCTCAGGTCACTGGAGCTGGTAGGCAGCTCTAATTAGGGCTACATGTTCTGTCATGTTCTAATTTCACCTAAGTTTACTTAACTCAAACTGCATTTTACTTACTGGGATGTTTATTATCCTCTCGTTGTCACCTGATGCCTTCCTGGGCCGGCGAGGATGGAGACCTGTGCTGCATTTACTTACCATCAGACTTTTGAGTTTCACTCAGAAAACATCCTCCTACATTTGATTTTACTGTTTTATATTTTTGTTGATTACATGTTTTATATTTTGTGTTTTGATTGTTTATATGATACAGATGTTTTACTGTCTCAGTGTTGGGGGGGCACAAGGGGTGGCCCGCCTTGTTATTCATCACATTAAAAACTTTTTTCAAACACAGCTCAGTTTTTATGGAGGACTTAAAGTACCACAAAAAAATCACGCAATAAAAATATAAAAATGTGTTCTGATTGTTTTTTTTTTACCAATAAGTGTTTAATAGTGGCACTTCTGATCAGTCTTAGGGCATTAGGGATCTTTAGCCTCTTTCCAGGTGCATCAAGAGCAAATGAAGTAAGAGTGACATCCTGTGGTCATTTTTGTGTACTGCAGTCCGTTTTTTTTAACAAAAAGGAAAAACTCACCGTTCCGTTAGTTTCGAGGCTGTTATGGCTCAGCACCAGAAGATTCTAGAGGACGAGCAAAGACGCGTCATTCCGAGTAAGTTCATATGTAGATAAATGCATTTCACTGTAATATCAAGTCACTGATAAATGCATGTGAACGTGTGTGTGAATGGATGAATGATATACAATCTTAAATGACGTTACATAGTTGAAACAAACATCATTACTTACATACAACGTATGCAGGGTTTCCCCCAGAAAATGAGTTAAACCTGGGGGCTTTGGCCGTCGGGGTGGGGGGTTGGGGTTCGCGCGTTCAGTCCCGCAGCACTCCTCCATGACATGACATGGGTGGGGTGGGGTGGTTGCACGCGTTCCGCTGCTGTTTCTCACCAGCATCAGCTGATGGAGGGCTCTAGTTTCGCTGCGCCGTTCGTGTCAGCGGACACGGTAGGGTCAGGGAGGGGGGCGGGGCATGACGCGGGCCGCCAGGTTTATAAACCGCTGGGGGAAACCCTGGTATGTGTGATTCAGGACGTAAGGCAGAGCGGATTAGAAAATAACTTTTAGAGCTCCGTTCAGCGACTCATGAGCCGAACAACCTTAGGCTCCCAGTGTGGTTCAAATTCACCGTTAGCATCGTTAGCTCAACATTAGCCTCCTGCTTTACGCGATACTAGAGTAAAAACAAGCGGAGGCTGTGGCTTCTCAGGGGAACCAGAAATAACATCTGGGTTAGGTACTTTAAAAACTGCTGATCCGTTTTTCTGGGCTGGTGTGGAATTATGCCGGTGCGGCAGCGTCAACCACCAACCCCACAGGGTTCACAGATTGTAAACAAAGACTAAGTCCCTCTTTGGGTATTTTGAAAGGAGTAAAAGTGACAACGCCCCAGCTGGCTGAGAAGAAGTGTACGTAACCTTCTTTCCTGACTGAGGCAGACATCTGAACATTTCACAGTGAAATTCGTGCTCTTGTGCCTTTAACAAGACACGATGGAGGAACTTCACATTGTGCTAATACACTAATGATGAAAAAACATGTTTTTATGGATTTTATTTCTTGTTTATCAGGTAAATAAGTTAAAAAATGCTTTCCTAAATGCTAAAACCCAGAAGTTTTGCTTGAATACAGCGAGTCAGTCAGAAAACACGATCCGTTCAGCTGAACCAGATCCCACATCAGAAAACAAAGAGAATACAACGTATTTCAATGATAACTTCAATAAATAAGCTAATTAGGCAAAGAAAGGATCAATAGTGTAACAATAGCAAATGTTCACATTTAATAGAACATCTAAAGCTCGACTACAAACCGTCTAAACCAAACAATCTAACAAATATGAACAATTTAAAAGAAAATCAGTGTTTTTGTAACCTTGAGATTAAAGATTTCTGATGGAAAATGACTCACTTTACAATTAAGAATTCAAACAATAAACTCATCAAATACATTTTCAGTTAGAGTCAAATATGAACCTAAATAAAACAACAGCAGAGATTTGCGTCTGTATGTGTTTGGTTTATACATGTATTCAAGTTTTATGTCTAGATGCAGCCTTCGAGCTTCGGCCCCGTGAAAGCTCAGTTTACTCAAACTACTGGAGCTGAAACAAAGTTGTACTCTGAAAAAAACTCATCATTTCTGTTTATGTTTGCAGGAATTCTGGATGAAAATCTAATAATTCATGTCTGAAGGCCAATTGTACTGTTTTATAACTTTAAGAGCAAAAGAAAATCTGAACAAAAACAAGAAATCTGTTTCCTAGTTTTTGCTGGTCTTGTCTCGGTAGAAGACGTCTCTGCTGGGTTGCCTCTTCCAGCTCAGTTCCACGTCTCCGGTCACGTTTTGGTTCATCAGCTTCTGTTTTAGCTGAAACATAAAACTACAGACTGATTTCCTTCACATGCCTGGTCTCCAGAGGTCAGCCCACAGCAGCAACCAGGTGAGAATCGACACAGTTCACACACAAAACCTCTCTCGAGTCCAGCGAACTCCAGATACAAACTTATTTATCATATGAAACTTGTATTATTTACCTGCTGCAGTAAGTCCTCCTGAACAGCAGGGTCCTCCAGACGCAGAGCCGAGGTTTTCACCAGCTTCAGCTTTATCCCCGTCCTCCACAACGGCACGGGGTCTATTAAAAAACACAAGACTTTCATTTGTTTCATCTAAATAAGTGAATCATTTATTAAACATACAACAAATTAAACGAGTCATAAATAAAAACATGGTTCTCTTTTCTAGGAGTTTGTTTAGAATTATTTAAAGGGTCTGTGTTTCTGTTTTCCATTGAATTTATTTCAACTGTCATCCTGTCAAAACCAGTGGGCGGGGCTAAGGCTGGCAACATCTATTGCTCTGGTCTGAATTTCAAACATGGCCGCTCCCTTGATGGAAGACTTCTGAGCAACTGGCGAGAGATAACGTAAACGTAAAGGATAAAACAAAATCGGTGCTAAAACCGAGACACTTAACAAGGATTTTCCATCCATCTAACGTAGAAGAGCAACATTTTATAATGTCATTCACGTAGAAAAGCAAAGTCCCAACAGCCACCACACATGCGTCTCTGCATCCGACCCATCCCCCCGGGGAGCAGTGAGCTGCAGCTGTGGCCACGCCCAGGAACTATTTGGTTAATTAGCTTTTTGTTTTCCAAGCTCAGCTGTGGGTGACAGCTGTTTCTCAACACTGAAGTGTCTGAGGAACTTAAAGAGCAAGTCACCCCCATCAGAGTATTACTCCACTCCCACTTCCTGTTTGAAAAATGCAACAAATGCTGTCGCCTAGCAGACCGAGAGGGCGGAGCCGCTAACAAATACACACACACAGGCACACAACGACATTGTGACATCACATGGTACCAGCTAACGTTCTAGGGTACCTCTTAGCCAATAGCGATGGCAGATTTAAATTCAAATGCAGTGCAGAGTTGTTACCTGACAACGGCACAACACTGACAGTTTTAGGCAGAAAATTAAAATTTTAACTAAAATCCACTAAAGTGCAAAACTATTGACGACACGTGTCTGCAGCACGATTAGACACGTGTTTATATAGTTTATCAGAAAAACTGTTGATTTGGGGGGTGACTTGCTCTTTAACCCTCCCGCTGTCCTAATGGGTGTGACCCCGCAAGGAAAGTTGACCATTGAGCAGGGTTGGTGTTTTATCCCTCGAGGTCCATGTAGCAGGGGTGAGGAGTGAGCACCACCTCACCGCTGCCACATGGACCATCAATCCTGCTCAATGGTCAACTTTCCTCGCGGGGTCACACCCATTAGGACAGCGGGAGGGTTAAAGAGACTCACTGGATCAGCGAATGCGTGTCCGATTTGGTGCTGCGTCTGCAGAGATGCCGGTGTTGCACCGGTCTGTCACGGTGAAGAGAGAGCTGAGTCGGAAGGAGAAGCTCTCCATTTACCGGTCAACCTACCGAATGCGATTACGGGACAACCCGCTCTACCTCTTGAGCCATTGCTGCCCTATGCAGCATGCATGCTTGTTGATAAGGAACTGGATTGGTAGACAGAAAAAAGATGCACGGCGACATCTTTCATGCTGACTGGAATTGATAAGGGAATCATTTGCAAAAATGGCAAACGATACTAGGAATTAAAACAGTGAGAACCGGTTCTCAGCAGGAATCAGTTTTCCATTCCCACCCCTCCTCCTGAACGCCTCCCCGGAGAGGTCCAGAGACGTCTGGGCCTCCCTGCTTAGACTGCTGCCCCCGCGACCTGACCCCAGATAAGCGGAAGAGAATGAATGGAAAGGATGTTTAAGTCTTATTTGAGAAATCTAATCAACTTTAGGTCATACTTTTGTAACAGGTCTGCTAGGGTCATGTTGGACGGCTGTTCATCCGAGTCACAGCCTCTACGTTGGGGTGTCCCACAAGGTTCAATTCTCGGCCCGTTACTGTTCAACCTCTATATACTGCCCTAAGGAGCCATTTTCAGAAAGCACGCTGTCTTTACGCTGACGACTGTCAAATCTTTTTTTCATTTAAGCCAACTCATTCAACAAAAGTTCTGTCTGATTGTATCCTTGAGGTCAAGCAATGGCTAGCTGACAACTTCCTCCATCTTAATGACTCCAAAACTGACTTAATCGTTTTCAGTCCCAACAGTATCACGGCAACTCAACAACCTGACCTCAACTATCTCTCACCTAATGTATCCTCTGTAATCTCCAACCTTGGAGTAAAAATGGACCAGGCTCTGAAGATGGATGCCCAGGTCAATAACACAGTTAAATCATGTTTTTACCAACTAAGACGCATCTCGAAACTAAAGCACATCCTGAGTGTACGTCTTCTGAAATCAGTGGTCCACACTTTTATCACCTCAAGGCTGGATTACTCTAACTCCTGCTTATATGGCATCAGTAAAGCAGCTCTCTCTAGACTTCAGCTGGTCCAGAATTCAGCAGCTAGGTTTCTGACTGGAGCTGACAGAAGATAACACATTTCTCCAATTCTGAAATCTCTCCACTGGTTGCCAGTGCAGTTCAGGATAAACTTCAAAATTATGCTTCTGACTTACAAATCCTTGAACCATCAAGCTCCTCCATATCTGTGTGAACTTGTCCATTACTACAACCCGCCGCGTGCTCTCAGGTCTGAAGATAAGCTCCTCCTAGCTGTTCCAAATGCTCGTTTAAAAAGCCGTGGAGAAAGGGCTTTCTCTGTCTGTGCACCAAAGCAGTGGAACGCATTACCACTGCTAGTGAGGCTAGCACCAACAGCTAGCATTTTTAAATCACGCCTGAAAACTCACTACTTCAACCTAGCTTATATAACATAATTATGGACCTCACTGACATCTGCACTGTTTAAAAATGGACTCCACAATTATCGACTTCCGTACTATTGAGGTTCTTTTTTAAAATGCTTTTCTAATTTTTTATTCACCCTGTGTCTTATTGATTTTTAGCTGTTAGTTTTGGGAATTTTGTTGTATTTCCATTTTATCTTTTATCTGTGTTCGACATGTTTGTATACCGCCGGTTTAATTAACCAACATTTTTAGTGTACAGCGCCTTGTTTGGTTGTAATGCCTTGTGAATGCGCTTTATAAATAAAATTGGATTGGATTGGAACTTCATAAACTGAATAAATGGGGAGAATGTTGTGATTTCAATGAATAAAGTGACTTTACACAGGAAGTGTGAGTGAATGGCTGCTTACCGTGGTAGCAGACGAACGGCTTCTCCAGTCCACACGCCAAGTCCATCCACCGACCAGAGTTGGCAAAGTTGGCTGCGGTACATTTCTCGTCCCCACCGTCTGGTTCCGAACTTTGCCAGTAATTATACATGAAGAAGGGCCCATTTGACCACTTCCAGGTGTTTTTGTAAAGCCCGATCCAGGTTGATCCGGTTATCAGCTTCTGTATCTGCGCATTCTCCGACAGGTTCCTCACGCTGGCCAGGTCTGTGTAATGCTGTCTGCAGTAGCGCTGAGCATCAGTCCAGTTCATCGGATTAGTAATTAAGACAAAAGTCACATTTCCCCCTGAAAACAGACCAAAGTCAGACTGAGTAAAGCAAACCCAAACGTCAGAGGAAGATCTCAGCTCACGTTTCCTCATGAAACGGTTTAGATGTTCAGGAAGAGAAAATCATTTGAGCTGAATTTTAGTTTTACACGTCTTTATTTGTTCATGTAACCCGTACACATGATGCTCAGCTTTAATGGAGCCTTCAGAAGACTATTCGCTGGGCTACTGCTGCCTACAGGTTTGGCATGGATTGGGTGTTGACCAATGGCTGTAAAAGCTATACTGGACACACCCTCCATGACATCACCTGTAGGTTTCTGAAGCCCAAAGGGCGGTTCCCACCACCGCCATCTTGGCCGTCTCTTCACTCCCAGAGAATACAAAGATACGCAAAAAGGTGGCGCTGAGAGTTGGGCTGTGATGATGTCATCAAACTTGGATCCAGTATAGCTGTGAGATAACAGTGTCTGAGTTAATAAAATGATGCTTCATGCGTGCAACTGCTTGTGTTATAAGTAGATAACCAGTTAGAACTTTTTCGAGTCATCATGTGCTGGAACGTTCTGCTTTTCTATGAAACCAGCTCAAACTGGTTTCACAGACCGATGTTGCTACATGCTGAGTTCTGCTTTACTAAATATGGAACTGTCTTTCACTGGGGCAGTTGGGATTGCCCCAACCGCTCTGAACGATCGCCTGATTGTGTGTGTAAATAAACGGCTGCACGAGGAAGTGAAGAGTCCGTGTGAGTTGGAGGAATCCCTCATGCTCCTCTGCAGAGTAACAACCAGAAAACATCTCCTGTTGTCTGTTTGCTCTGATCTCGAGGTTGCAGGGTTGAGAAAAGACCCTTTCAGAGTTAACTGAGCTAACGGAGGTTTGCGGGCACTTTTAGCCTGAAAGCACTCGGCGGAGCGGATCTACCGTGAAGCTGCTGTGTTTCTGTAGTCTCCCTCAGAGCTTCACAGGCAGCCAGCACGACTACAGCCCCGCACCGCGGTCAGACCCGGGCAGCAGGAGCAACCGACGCCATGAACTAATAAACTGTTACCAGCGGCCACGAGGAGAGACGCTTTAGTGCTGAGAGGATCTAACATGTCTGGCACCAATAGTTTTGTTATTTGAATGAATGATTTGATTTGGTACACGTATGACCGATGTATCCAAACCTCAGAAAGTAATCACAGATTAAATATCAGGCTTAATAAAGCAAATCATGGAAATCTCATAAATATTAGAACAAATTCAACTGAGCAGAAAACTAGAAAAATTAAATGTGGGTTGTTGAACATTAGATCCATTTTTTCTAAGACTTTGTTAGTTAATGACTTGATTTGTGATACTCAGATCTCTTTGCTCTCTCACAGAATCCTGGCTGCAGCAAGAGGACTATGTTAGCTTAAACGAGTCGACTCCTTCTAATTATTTAAATCATCATATTGCTCGAAGAACAGGGCGAGGAGGAGGAGTAGCAACTATTTTTCATTCGGACTTATTAATCAGTCCCTTACAGATTAATAGTTACAGTTCGTTCGCACATCATATTCTTAGTTTTCCTAATCCAGATTGCAAAACTGTAAAACCACTCTTGTTTGTAGTTTTATATCGTCCACCAGGCCCTTACTCTGAGTTTTTGGATCAGATCTCTGATTTTTTATCTGATTTGTTGCTAAATACTGATAAGGTCATCATAGTGGGGGATTTTAATATTCATGTGGACATTGAAAGTGTGTGTGTGTGTCTGCTCTGTCTTCTCCATCCCCAGTGAGTCATGGTAGATGTCTGCTTATACTGAGCCAGGATCCTCTGGAGGTTTCTTCCTGTTAAAAGGGAGTTTTCCTCTCCACTGTCGCTATATGCTTGCTTAGTATGAGGATTGCTGTATAGCCACTGACACTAGTCAGTGACTTGATGCAATTTGCTGGGTTCCTTATATAGGACACATTATTTCTGATTGGCTTAATGAACTGACCTGAATTGGAATTTTTATTATGTGAAGTGCCTTGAGACGACTCTTGTCGTGATTTGGCGCTATATAAATAAACTTGAATTGACATTAAAACGTCTTTTCTACTTGTTATTCTACCTGGAACACAGACGTCTGTTATCTAGACATTCACTCGTTCTTTCAGAGAATCAAACCTCTTTTGCTACATAAAGCTAAAGAGGAGAATTGAATTTTAGTCTATTTGTTCTCACCGCTGACGTTGGAGCATATTGAGCTTAAGAGATTATCGCAGGGAGTATCCCACCATCTGCCCTGGTCCACGTATATATTTCCACAATATTCTGTGTACCAGATGCTGTCTGGTTGTCCTGGGTACCAGTTCGTATACGTCGCCTCGTTATTTTTGTAGAAATCTTCGTCTGACAGAGACCACTTCCAGTCGATCACGTCAAAGTACAAACCGATCCAGGCCTGTGGAACACCAGAGTTGGACTTTTTACTCTCAAAAGTAAAACTTCCAGAGAAGAGAGACGACTAAAGCGAGTTTACGTGTTTGGTGGAGCCCATTTGGGTCACATCAGCCAGGCTGTTGAGCGTGGTCACCGTGCTGTAGCTGTCCACCGTCACCAGGTCCGTGTACGTCTGTCTGCAGTAGGTCTGAGCCTCGGTCCAGTTCTTCGGGTCATAAATAAAATGGTACTGACGGTATCTGATGGAGGAGGCGGCACACAGAGCTGCAGGGACACAGGAGGACACGCGGATCAGAACCTGAGCAGAAATGTCTAAAATGCTCTTTATTCAGCTTCTGTAAAATCTGCTGTTAGTGAAGCAAAAACTCCACTAGGCATAAGTAAGATTTACAGATTAAAGGAGATTATTTAGGTTTGTTTAGAAGGAATCATTAAAGAAACAAACCAGGTGAGATTAGACCGCCAACACCAGATCCACTCACCAGATGCAGCGATGGTGCAGAGCAGAACTTTCTCCATCCTGATGCGTTCCTCGCTTCTTCCACCTGTGACTTCAGATCTTTGGCGTCTGAATTTCAGCTCAAACATGCAAAATGTCTCGCTTCAAGCATTTGCGTTTAGTATAACAAGAGATTTCCAGAGATACTGGGACAATTAAAACACATTTTAACTCACAAATGACTCATTTGACTGCAGAGGCTTCAGCACCTGATGATGTTGTCAAATCAGCTGATTCAGTTTTCTGGCAAGCCATCCTGTATACACGGCATGGCCAAAAAACGAGTGTCCACCTGGATTTAACTAAGCAAATAGCTACGTCCTCATTTCCTAAACAACCAGGTGGAAAGACACATCTGGTGGTCGTGGAAAAGAAGTTAGTCTGGGTGAGAAGGGTCAGATCATCAGCATGCATCAAGCGGAGAAAACATCTAAGGAAACGACTAAAACTGGGTTAGTAAGGGTGATGTGGTGCATCAAGCCTTGCTGAGGTTTATTACTAACTGTGGACCACTGATCCATCATGGTGAGTTGTGTTCGACAGTGGGATGGCCTTATTTATCCACCAGGAGGTTGGGACATTAGTACACCTTCATTTAGAAGGCCATGCTGCTGCTTTGGGCCCTGGCAAGATGGGCTGGGGTCTCCATGCCCTGGGTGGCATTTTGGCAAAGGAGGTGCCTATTGGGGCCGGTGGGGAAGCTGGCTCCCTGGAGGACTTAGTCCAACCAGCCATTCCTCCCCATCCCCACACATTTTTCCCCTCCTGCTCCCTCACATCATAACACAATCATGCACATAGGACCTTGGTGGGTGGACAAATCAGGGGGTGCGGGTATGGACCCCATTTCCTCATTCCTGTGGCAACCTGCCCCCCAATTTTATTTGCACCTTAAATACTTCCACCAACGACATTCCACGCAAACACACACTTAGGGCCTTGGGAGTGAGCACACACAATGGCAGTTGGCAGGGGGATTTTTCAGCCTCATTCCGAGTGCCGGTGCCTACTTCCAATTTTAAACTGCACTTAGACACAGAGGGTTGTGGGTGCAAGTGGGGTGGTGTGGTGGCATCAGCTGGCATAGGCCAGATGATGCCCGCACTGCCAGCTCACCACAGCCATGGAATACACCTCATCAACACTCACTAACACCATATTGGAGCAGGCGGAGGGAGACTAGGGGTCTTAGCACACCTCTGTTGTCGCTTGGCTTCCCGAGGCTGGAGGCTAGGAGGGGGATCTGGCCATCTGGTTGGGGTCTGGGGTGGTGGGTTGCTGTGCTCAGCGTTGGGCGGGGGAGCCTGCTCATCAGCACCCCAGCAGAAAGGGTCGAACTCTGGGAATTGGTAATGGTTGTACCCAATGTGCAGCAGTACCGGGACCAGAGTGAATAGGGTGTGTATGGGGAGCATGAGTGGGTGTCTGGCGTGCATTTTTGTAAGTCTTTGGTTGTATGTGTATCTGTGAGCATGAGGGAGGGAGTGTGTCACTGAGTCTGTGCATGACTGTATATGTCAGGTGGGGCCATTGACTCCTCCCATCTTCTGGGACTTCTTTTGATGCTATACATATTCGTTCCCCCTCCCCCTGCCACACCTGGTGTGGAGTGCGGTGCCTTGGTCTGTCTGAGTGTTCGAAGCTCCCGAGTCAGGGAGTTTAAGATTTTTGGCATCTGCCTGACCAATCCCGGTGGCTGCCTGGTGGGGTCTGGGTCCCTGGGCTCTGCTGGGTCCCCGGCGGGGGTGGCCGCCCCTGGGTCCCAGGTTGCTGGGTTCCGGGCTCGGCCGGCTATGGGGTGGGAGGCTGCGGGCGGGCCTGTGGGCTTGCCGCTGATATCTCCCGGGACTCTGCCGGCTGCTGGTTGTGGCCCCCCGAGGCGATCCTCTGTGCCTCTCGAGGGGGGCGAGAGCTTTTCTGGTCGCAGTCTCCCTGGGGTCCCTGTGCTCTGGGGCAGCTCCTGGATCTCTGGGACTTGGAGCTTCCTCCGTCTCCTATGCATCTTTAGGGGGCAGATCTGTGGCCCCTCACACTCTCTATTGGACGCTCCTTTAGAGAAACCTTACATATACAAGCGCGTGTACACACACAGGTGCTCACATGGTGCTCTCATAAGTATGGACTTGGGCACGATCAACACATGTCTTAAGGCTGCGGTTGGCACTGCGATTTGTTATCGTGTTCAGTAAAACAATGTTGATTTTATATTTACTCATAAGGTTGACGCAGTGATAGCTTGCTCCTGATGTATTGTTGTGTGTCTCTTTTCTGCAGGTCTAGAAACAAACTCTTGTTCATTATTGATTGTTTATTTTTGTGGAAAACGAAATCAACCGAGTTTGTCTCCTTGAATATGTTTAAAATCAGACTGAGAGCCCTTGCTGCATCTTGGCAATCCCTTGTGCTCAGCTGACCCAGACACTAAGCTCAGCTCCCTCCAAGTCTCCTCGACGTCCCTAAGGACCCCCCAAGCCCCCCCCCCCCCCCCCCCTTATGGGGGACATTGAGTCTGAGTGGGCCATGTTCCGTGCTTCCATTGTCTAGGCAGCTGGCCGGAGCTGAGGCCGCAGGATTGTCAGTGCCTGTTGTGGTGGCAATCCCTGAACCTGCTGGTGGACACTGACAGATAGGGATGCTGTAAAGAGTCCTTTTGGTCTGTGGGACTCCAGAGACAGCTGATGGGTACTGGCAGGCCAAGTGGAATGCGACCCAGGTGGTCACAGAGGGAAAACCCGGGTGTGGGAGGAGTTCTATGAGACCATGGAGCAAGACTTCTGTATGGCTTTGAGGAGATTCTGGTCCACCCTCCGGCGCCTCAGGAGGGAAAAGCAGTGCACTACCAACACTGTTTACAGTGGTGAGGTGTGCCGCTGACCTCGACTCAGGACGTTGTGGATCGGTGGGCAGAATACTTTGAAGACCTCCTCAATCCCACCGACACGTCTTCCAGTGAGGAAGCAGAGTCTGGGGACTTTGGGTTGGCCTCTCAAATCTCTGGTGCTGAGGTCACTGAGGTGGTTAAAAAGCTCCTCTGTGGCAAGGCTCCAGGGGTGGATGAGATCCGCCCGGAGTTCCTTAAGGCTCTGGATGTTGTGGGGCTGGGTTGGCTGACGCGGCTCTGCAATATCGCATGAACATCAGGGGCAGTCCCACTGGACTGGTAGACCGGGGTGGTGGTCCCTTTATTTAAAAAGGGGGACCGCAGGGTGTGTTCCAACAACAGGGGATCACACTCCTGAGCCTTCCTGGTAAGGTCTATTCAGGGGTTGTTGAGCCTCAGATTCAGGAAGAGCAATGTGGTTCTCATCCTGGCCGTGGAACACTGGACCAGCTCTATACCCTTAGGGGGATCCTGGAGGGTGCATGGGAGTTCACCCAACCAGTCTACATGTGTTTTGTGGATTTGGAGAAGGCGTTCGACCGCGTCCTTCGGGAGGCCTTGTGGGGGGTACTCCAGGGGAGTATGAGGTACCAAGCCCTCTGAAGGTTCCTGTATACCTGTGTCAGAGCTTGGTCCGCAGCCAAGTGTGGAGCAGTTGGGATGCGAATCAGCTCCTCCCCTCTAAATCTGAGACCATGGTCTCAAGTGGGAAAATAAAATTCTTCAGTTATTACTAAAAATGAAAGATGCTGCTCCAGGTCATGATGAGATAAGTCTTATAAAGAAAATGGCTCCCTCTAGTGTTGAACCCCTTACTTATATTCTGACTTTGTCACTGAAAACAGGTGTTGTATCAAGGATTTTAAAAGTAGCAAAAGTAACTCCATTTTTCAAAGCTGGGGATGCTACTTTATTTCTCAACTCAAACTTTATTTATACATCACCTTACAGACACTTACACGCCACCAAACTGCTTCACAGACAGATGTTTTATTTTCATTCTTTTAAAAATAGTTAAAATACACATTAATCTCAAGCAACACATGATGACTATATGTTTCTTGTATATTTGTGTTTATGTTGTATTAATAATGTCTTTTGTGCAAACTATTAAAAAATCATTAAAAAGGTAGAATGCCTTCTCCGGGTCAGGGATGAGGTCCTGCCTCAAGTGGAGGAGTTTAAGTATCTCGGGGTCTTGTTCACGAGTGAGGGAAAACTGGAGCGTGAGATCAATAGGCGGATTGGTGCTGCGTCTGCAGTGATGCGGGCGTTGTACCGGTCTGTCGTGGTGAAGAGAGAGCTGAGTCAGAAGGCGAAGCTCTCGATTTACCGGTAGATCTACGTTCCTACCCTCACCTATGGTCATGAGCTTTGGGTAGTGACCGAAAGAACGAGATCACGGATACAAGCGGACAAAATGAGTTTTCTCTGCAGGGTGGCTGGGCTCTCCCTTAGAGATAGGGTGAGAAGCCCTGTCATCTGGGAGGGGCTCACTGGTGTGTGTGAAATTTGTTCTCCTCAGTTGGCCTATCTCCTGGGGCATCTGTGAGCTGCAGACACGGCTGCGCTCGGGAACCATGTGATGGATTAACCCCCCTGTCCAACCCCTTAATGCTGAGTGTCAATTGGGTCACACTTTTTCTAAGTCTTTGGTGTGACCCCAACACGATTTGAATCCCGATCTCCCAGTCCCTGGGTGGACACTCATACCACTAGGCCACTGAAATGGTTAGAGGCCCCTGAGACAATCCACCACATAACTGCAGGTGTAAGATGCTGGCAAGGAAAGCATCCATGGAAAGCCACAACCAAGTGGCTGGCATCATGTACAGAAACATCTGTGCAGAGTACAGACTGGAAGCCCCAAGGTCAAAGTGGGCAACACCCCTAAGGTGGCAGAGAACCAGAGAGCCAAGCTCCTGGGGGACTTCCAGATCCAGACTGACAAAATGTTGATGTGAACCAACCGGTCATTGTGGAGGTGGACAAACAACAGAGGACAGATGTTGGGGTTGATATGGCGATACCAGGTGATGCAACATCAGGAAAAAGGAACAGGAGAAACTCGACAAGTACCAGGGCCTCAGAGATGAACTTGAGAAAGCCTGGAGAGTGAAGACGTCGGTGGTGCCCGTGGTCATCGGGCAGTAACCCCCAGACTGGAGGAGCGGCTAAAGCACATTCCAGGAACAACACCAGACATCTCAGTCCAGAAAAGTGCAGCTCTAGGAACAGCTAAGATACAGCAGAACCCTCAAGTTCCCAGGCCCCCAGCGGAGGGTGAGGTGGGAATTTAATTTTAAATGTATACTAACACTTACTTGTCCATGAGAAAGTCGCCAACTCTGCATCTGTCTAGGTGCGTCCTTATATGCTCGTGCACGCCCTGTGATTGACAGCTGTATGTTAGCGGATGTTAACGCTATTGGCCAACACTGACGGCACTCAGTTTAAATTGCATGGGGGTCTACGAGCCAGGGGGTGGGCTTTGCAAAAAGAAAAAATGACCTACATCATATCGCAATACAGGATGGTTAAATGTGTTTGATCAGAAACATTTTGTGACAAACATGCAAAACAATAAGAAATCAGGAAGGGGGCAAATAGTTTTTCACACCACTGAATCTCCTCCTCCTAGCGTAGCTGCCACCTACCACATGACCAGATTCTTTCCTCCTGAAGGAAGAATTGAAAGTCCACTGAACTTGCAACCATTTTCCCTGTTTTTCTCCGTGTCTGGTTCGTTGACGTCACTTTGGTGCTGCGCATTTGTAGTCCTGGACTTATTTTCACACAAAACCAAAAATAACATTTCTCCTGTTCAAAAATAAGCGCTTTCTTGGTATCAAAATGCGTCTTTAAAATTCAAGGACATCATAGGTGAAATTCATGGCACACAACTATCGGAAATAGAAATTGCGTTTTTAGCCCCGTCGACTTGCGTTCATTTCTTCGTTCTTCCGGGGACCTGTGGTCCGGAAGTAGAAGGGCGTGGCTTAGGCTCCCTATGCTTCAACTTAAGATGCCAGGATGAAGACAAATCCAAGCCTGCAGCTGAAAACCTCGACCCAAACTAAAACAGCTGTAACATTTTATAAGTGGTTACTTTTAACCCTCCCACTGTCCTGATGGGTGACCCCGCGAGGAAAGTTGACCATTGAGCAGGGTTGATGGTTTATTCCTTGAGGTCCACGTGGCAGGGGTGAGGAGTGAGCACCACCTCACCCCTGCAACGTGGACCATCAATCCTGCTCAATGGTCAACTTTCCTCGCGGGGTCACCCATCAGGACAGTGGGAGGGTTAACAATCAATGGAGCATAAAGGTATTTAAGCAAATGTAATATTCTATAAAAAATATGGATCATTCAAATTCAAAAATACTTTCTTAATCCCAGAGGGAAATTGATATCAAAATTATTGAGTCTTTAATATTCGATTAATGATGAAACTAGGTACTTTGGGTAACGCCAGGGAAACAACACTTTGTAATAATTTGACAGACAAAAATATAGTTGTAGAGTCTAAAGAGTCCTCAAACACTCCCCTTTCTGAGACGCTTAAAAAGCTCTTTTCATTTAATACATGAAGTAAATAGTTAAACGTTCGTTTGTTAATATTCTGATATTAATGTGAAGATGTAACTGATGATAAATCATTATTAAATGGCCTCTTGTCAGAGTGCCCCAGGGCTGCTGTGGCTGCATTGTAGCTCATCCCCACCAGCGTGTGAATGTGGGTGTGAATGGGTGAATGACTGATTGTGTTGTAAAGCACCTTGGGGGGTTCCAGCACTCTAACCCTAACCCTACATCAAATACAAGTCATTTATAAACATAAATCACTTTAGATAAAACAGAATGTGATTGTCAACAACGTGTAGCGTTAGGAAATGATTTATGAGGGGGAATAAGAATCCTTTTATTGAAAGAGTAAAGTCTCGTTTTCTGCAGTAGACCTTGCAGCTGCAGCTCCACGTCAACATGAGAGGTTGTTTAGACAAAGTTCCCAGATGGTGCAGCTAGAGAAGTTAAGCATGGAGTTGTTTTACAGGGAAGAACACAATATTCCTGGCACAAGGAACCTGCTGGACACGACTGTCTGTTGACATTGCTGAGGCAGGCTGTGGACAAATAACCATGTTGGACTTCTCCTAATGGAAAGAGCCAAGAAAGCACTACTCAAAGAAAGGAAAAGACATTACCCCAACAGAAACAAGTGGAAAATGAACTGGAAAACAGATGCTTGGATATCAAAGTGATCTTCACGGTTGATTACAGGGAAAAAAAAAATCCAAGAAAACATCTCATTAAGCCCCCAACGTTGTGTACAACTGACCACACAGCACACAGCAACCCACCGGTAAAAGCTACAGCAAATCTACAGAACAGGCTTTCAACGCAAACACGGTCACCGGTGACTTCAGATGGTGATTTTCTTTTTGGGACTCTGGTGGTTTGTCCTAAAGCTGAAGTGGTAGCAGCCGGCTGTTTCTCCTTCTCTGATGTTACCGAGCGGAGAACCTCTCACCCGGGGAAGTTCGGCGAGACCGACAACCGGATGGTCTGATGGTTGTTTTGGGTCTGGAATGTGTTGTTGGTGGAAGTTTGTAGACAAGTGGGAGCGAACCACTTTATTAATCTTTTAAAATGTTTTTTATATCTCCACAATATATTTATAACTATACTATTAGAAAGTTGAGAAGCATGAAAAATTGTTTTAAGCTCATTTATTTTCCTAATTTGCCGTTGGAGCTTGAAAGGGCGAGCTCCTAAGCCCTGAGCACCATCGGCCCAGAGGAAAGGAAGCTAGCTCTGCTCCTCATCTTCAATGCAAATGATCCATTTGAATATTCAAAAGAGTGCGCATGATGGTTTTAAACACTAATGAGGACAGAAACCGCAGATATTAAGTTTTAGCTCCACTCTGGGTTAACAGAGGTCATTCTTTATCATTAAAGCGGTTTCCCCATGTCTACAACGTCTTATTTAATGTAAAATACACACATTTATCACTTTCAGATCCGCTACAGTATATTATGGGATGTGTCGCTAGCATGCTCTGGGTTTCAGACTTTAATGTAATGTATTCATGAAGCTTCCAGATGTTGTCCGCGGACGTTCTCCTGCTGCAGCTCACACACACACCGTAGTCCGCTGGACTCTGACTGTTCCCTTCACACAGGAACCAGAACTTCCTGGTGTTGTTCTGCAGCTTACGAGAGATGTTTGATTAACCTTAACCCATTCTACCCGACTCATGAGAAGTTCAGATGGACAGGGGCGTGTCCAGGGAGTGGCCTGGGGTAGCACATGCCACCCTTAGAATCGGATTGGCCACCCCACTAAGTTCCAGTTTAAATTGACTTTACATTGTCGACAAAAGGCTTGGGTTGTAAACTCCAGAATAGTGTGGTAGCATGCACCTTTCACCTCGTTTTCTAGCCCAGGCCTGTAGTATTAATATTATTTTATGTTTTTTCATATTCACATACATAGTATTTAGAGTCTCACTCAGCTCCAGTTGGTGGAAGTAATGCAACAAGAAGTGACTTGCTAACCACCACAAAAGTAGAAGATGAAGAGGAAAAAAATGGTGATTGTGTAATGTGAAACTCAAAAATTCACTAGAAAGTAAAACAAATAAACGATTTGTGTAAATAAATAAATAAGCATAACCATTGGTGCCACCCATGAATAAACAAGTGCCCCACATGGGCCACCCCGTTTTAAAAGTCCTGGACACGGCCCTGCAGATGGACCAAGTCCAGAACAGCAGCTTCCGGATAACGATAAGAAGCTGGGAATGTTTAGAAACGTGGATTCTGAAACAGGAAGAACAAGCAGATGATGGATTACTGTAAACGTGCTGTTGGATAAATCCTATCGTATTGTATTTCCTCCTGCCCCGACCGGGGCAACAGATGAAATCGAGCTGATGGCTAATTCTGATACAGCTCAAAGCCATGCACTGGGCCACCAATTATTCCTTTTTGAGACCCCCCACTTATTCTCTTGGGAGGGGGTGGGGGGTGGGGGTGGGGGGGTGTGTGTGTGTGTGTGTGGGGGGGGGGGGGGGTGGTACGTGCTCTGCCCCTTTTCGGCCACAAGATGGCCTCGGTGGCGTCTGCCTGCCTGTCTCAGCTGTGTGTGACGGGTAATCATGGGTCAGCTGTTAAAGGCTGCTCTCCTGCCCACGACCTTTGAGAAGGTCCAGGCTAGCGAAGGCTCGGCAGAATTTTTGCTGCTCTCTTCTCCTCGTGTGTTTGTTAGTCTCGGCCATAAGGTGCCGGGAGGGGGGATTAACTAACCGAAACTCCGAGCTAATGGAGGGACGTCCTGTTAGGCAGGGACGCTGGGAAAAGTCCACAAACAACGTCAAATAGCCGTTCCTAGATCGGGGTCACCAGAGAGTCAAAATCTAATCCTAATACCAAATCGAAAACCTAAAGCCGAGATTAACAAACACACGTTACACACAGCTGAGACTTTCTACGCAGATGTTTATCCAGGAACCCTCTGGAGTCGGTGGTACAATCAGCCGTTTTCACCTTTACATTTCCTCTTTCTTGTTGTCCTTATCAAAGATTCTCCCATTGTCCTGCTTCTTCCAGCTCAGTTTAAGATTATCCTCCAAGTGTTGGTCCTGCAGCTTCTCTTTCAGCTGGGAATGAAAAAGCACAGATTAACAACACTCATACTTTAGTAAATCCCTGTAAGGGAGACGATAACGTTATCAAAGGTGAAGAATATATTTTTGCATCATATAATGTTTACTTTACATTTACAACAAACAAACAGTGACCTCACCTGAAAACAGCCTGCAGAGTCCTGGATCCCTGCCCATAATCTAGACTAGACTAATAATCCAGATGTTCCTGCTGTTTTAACTGTGAGGTGTTTATTAGTTTGTTAGAGAATTCTTTTGATTTAACATTTTGAAGTCTGATTCCTGAAATATTAGAAAACTTAAACGTATTTACTGGCTAATGATAATATAAGTATATAAATATCTGCATTTGTTTTTATCTAACTACACAAGGGTGACCTGGCACCTGCAGTACTTAGACCTCCCACCAGATGGTGGCAGAGAGGGTTTGTGAGGAATGTACTAATCTTGTTAAAGAGGCGGAGCTTTAAGATTTACAGATGAACTTGTTTTTGGTTGTAATCGGGGACTTCCTGTGGGGATTTTCAGATTAGAGAAACTTAACTTACCTGCTCCAGGATCTGCCGCTGCACAGTCGATTCGTTCAGATCCACAGACGAGTCTACGGCCAGTTTCAGTTTCACCACACACTTTGTATTTTCTGTGCAGGAGATAATATCAGCGACTTAGAAAGGACGGTTCTAATTGAAATGTGCGCTGTTCAAGAGCGTTTTATTGAAAATAAGCTTACATTAAATATAGCAAAAACAAAATGTGTGCCGTTTGGTATGCTAATAAAACTGATGTTAAGCTGCAAATAGATGGATGTGAAATTGGAATTTATTTATTTTTCCTTGGAATAATAATAGATAATAAATAAAGTTGGAAACCAGTAATGAAACATGTATATAATACAGGGTATCTGCAGGTTTAAGGGAGCCAAATTTAAGACTTTTTAAGCCCTTTTTAAGGCCACTTTGACCAAATTTAAGCAACTTTTTAAAATTAAATTTAAGCTTTAATTTCCAGCCATTGCCTGGAACCGGTGCTAACCACGTCGCGAACGTGGGATTAGCCATCCAGTTACCATCAAACTTGCACTTCCCCCTTGAAAGCTCCCACTAGCTTAACCAGCTAATGTGCTCATCTAAAAATAGCCCCCTTTCACAACCAACTGAATGTGTACGGTTCCGCTTATCATACACAAAAAATGCTGAACACTCGAAAATCACGAAAATTTTATAGAATTAAAAGAATCTTGTTTATTGGGTCTTTGGTAATTTAAGACCTTTGGAAACTGTATTTAAGGATTATTTGTCATTTTTAAATAAGACGTTGTAGACATGGGGAAACAGCTTTAATGATAAAGAATGACCTCTGTTAACCCAGAGTGGAGCTAAAACTTAATATCTGCGGTTTCTGTCCTCATTAGTGTTTAAAACCATTACGCGCACTCTTTTGAATATTCAAATGGATCATTTGCATTGAAGATGAGGAGCAGAGCTAGCTTCCTTTCCTCTGGGCCGATGGTGCTCAGGGCTTAGGAGCTCGCCCTTTAAGGATGTTCAAGGCCTTAAATTTGGAAAAGCAAATTTAAGACTTTTAAAGGACCCGCGGATACCCTGTAATAAGGGTGAGAGAAGCATCTACATCACGAATAACGCTCAACAGTACTTGGATTATAAATCACTCCATGTCCTTTATTATTCATTGATTTATCCCTATCTTATTTACTGTGTAGAGGTATGGGGTAACACTTCTAGAACATCTATTGTACCCTTGTCTATCATGCAGAAAAGAGCCTTGAGAGTCATTCGCAACGTCAGACAGAGGCTATCATTTTCAGCCCTAAGACTTCTCCAAGCCCCGAACTGACCCTTCCTTTTATCACAAGTGGGTTGAAAACCAGTGTCACAAACTTACGGGTCATGATGGATGCCAACCTAAAACTGGACATTCATGTCAACCAGGTGGTTAAGACCTGTTTTTACCACCTGAGGCGTCTCTCTAAAGTTAAGCCCCTTTTAAAAAGGCGTCACCTCCATTCAGTTGTCCATGCCTTCATTACCTCCCGTCTCGACTACTCTAACTCTATACGGTATCTCCTCCTCCACTCTCGCCCGCCTTCAGCTAGTGCAGAACGTAGCAGCCCGATTCCTGGCTGGCACCAGGCAGCGAGAACACATCACACCGGTTTTGGAAAATCTCCATTGGCTCCCCATCCATCTCCGGATAGAGTTTAAGATCCTGGTTTTTGTGTTCAAATTCCTCAATAACTTAGCACCTGGCTACTTGTCTGAGCTCATTCACCCTCATGTCCCTAGGCAATCCCTCCGATCACCCGACCAGTGTGGCGTTTACATCGAGCTCCGCCTCTAACCAATCAGCGAAGTTTATGAGGGCGGAGCTATTCGACATAGAACATCGGTTACGTACTATAACCCCATAAGCATCTTGGCTCCGCTGGTTCAGCCTCATGGAGATGATTTATAGGGTTGGGACCCGCCACGTGGGCGAGCATTCACTAAAAGCTCTTCAATGTATGGACGGTAATATGAGATTATAACCAATCAGCGAAGCTTATGGGGCTTTGGGGTTACTGTACGCAACCAACGTTCCAAATCCCATTAACAATAATGCTCGATGTGCTACCCGTTAGCTTCTCCCTGCTAATATCCCGCCATGGTAGGAGAGCTAGAAGGCTAGTGTGGTTAGGTTAGCGCTTGTAAGCATTTACAAAAACCATCGCTCCAGTAAGACTTGGTTTTTTCTGGCGAGGAGAAGTGAAACATGTTGACCTTTGACCTGCCTCAGTATAATAATTAAATAACAGCAGATAAATGAACCCTGAGACCTGGAAACCAACTCTGGAGGCTAACGGATTCATGTCTTACCACTTAAGCAAACAAAAGCTTTCTGTGCACTACAGCTCCAGTCCTCCCAGCGTCCAGCTCCACTTAGGTACGCCGTGGCACAGTTAGAGGTCAGACCATCGGGTTTGGTTGATGACCAGTACATAAATGTGGGTGTTCTTCCATTCACCCACTTCCACGACTCTCTGTAGAGACCAATCCAGGCTACCTGGCCTGCAGGTATCAACTTCATCACGTTCTGGTTCTCCGACATGTTCCTCACGCTGGCCAGGTCTGTGTGGTGTTCCCTGCAGTAGCTCTGAGCATTCGTCCAGTTCATGGTGGTGTTGATGTAGGCAAATGTTGCGTCCTGCCCTACACACAGACCATAATAACACATCAGAGTGTTATCATCCATCTCCATGGCAGCACTTCTACATCCTCACCTTTGACATCAGAGCAGATGACGTCTAGGGACACGCCACAGGTTCCATCGCTCCATCTTCCAGCCGAATCCATCCTGACGCAGTAAACGTACTTTCCGAAGCTGTTTGGGTAACCGCTGCCCCAGTTCCTGAACTCCGTTTCCCAGTTTCTATAGAAATCTCTGTCAGCCAGGGACCACATCCAGATGTTTTTGGTGTCGTATAATCCAATCCAGGCTCGCTGCGAGGAACCGTTCTCGTTAAACATAGAAACATTTGATTAGTGAAGAAAATAAAACTGTCCAGCGGCTCTCCTTGTTTCAGATCCTGGTTACGCCTCCTTGGGACAGCGTGTCCCCTAAAGAGGACATCAGCTTCTCATCTATGATGTTCTACACAGGCTGGTGTTATCGTTAGGAGACAACATCTGCATGATTAGATTTTTTTCATCTTGACCAACTGAATATTAATGTGAAAGAACAGGAAGTGAACAAGTGTTTACGTCTGCAGGGGTCAGAGAAAATCCCACTAGTTAAATCAACAGATAAAATTAATTTCGTACGACCTTTTTTCAGCTTCACAAACCAAACCCTCGTGAATCCGGAGCTACGGCGTGACCTCATGTTCACCCACACTCATGTTTTCATCTCAGATTCTTGACTGGGAGGAATGTTTCCCTCCATATTTCATAAATCAGTTTTTTTTTATTAAAAGTTCCTGTAGTTTGAACCCAAATCAACACGGTGCATGAAAACTTCTACCATAAATCTGAAATGCTGATTTTTTACCTGGCTGTAGGACGGGTAGACCATCTGGCTCAGGTCTGCCAGGCGGATCAGGGCATCTACGTCCTCCATGTCCTCTACGATGGCCAGGTCTGTGAACTTCTCTCTGCAGTGTCGCTGCGCCTCGGTCCAGTTCTTCACTTCATACACAAAATGGTAGCGGTGCACGGCGGCAAAGTGCGGCGCTGCAACGACACACACACACACACACACACAAGCCTCGGAGTAAACACCACCCATGCAGACACGTCTATCAGAAATGTTAGGAGCAGCTTTAGGACCTGAGGCAGCGACGATGAACAGCACGACCTTCTCCATTCCTGCAGCTCGGCTCTCCTGCAGCATTTCTATTTGCAGATTTTAACACACCAAAAATATTTGCATTTCTGCTGATTACCTGAATAATTTACAATTCAAAACCATTCACATAGCTTTTCTTTGTATGGTCAAGCTCACGAGTCTCACCTGCTGATCTTCGTCTCCCTGAGGAGGAAAAACACACACAAAAAAAAACCAGAAAACAGCTTTTAACCCGAGGCTAACGTTTATTAGGGATTGTACTGTTGCCCTCTTTCCTCAGCCCCCCCGCGGAGACATGTCCACGTGTCTCTGGTGACTGACTGGACTAGAGGCCCTGGTGAGTTCAGGACCAGCAGGTTTAAATGTTAAACAAGAACCCAGACAGAAGAACACTTTGAGGTGGAACTTTATTTCTACAATGAAGAAGAAGGAGGAGGAGGAGAAGGCACAAGACGGGTCTTCTGCTAGTTTTCTCCCACAGAAAAAGGTTTCTTTGATTCTGCTTTGAACCAGACGTCTGTAGGCAAGTCCCCGTAAAACCAGGTGAAATGCATCAAAGCAGCTCAGAAATCACAACTATAAAACAAATCTGATCATTTGAACAACTAAACATGTTTACATTTCAAATTAAATATATGAAAACAATCTTAAATAAACTTTAAAAATAACATGAAGAAATGTTTGAAGATTGGAAATACTGCTTCCTCAGGGGTAAAATCCCCCTGACTTGATTTTGCTCCGTTTAGGAAAGAATATGATGCACATGAATGTAACCTGAGACTCAGAGACGTGGTCCTCTGTCGTTAACTCTGACCTCGTTAGTGCAAACCCGCTCCCTCTGAGCTGCTCTAGGAGGACGCAGGAAGCTGGTCTCATAACAACCTGCAGGGCGCCAGCGTGCCTTCTGCACCAGTGGCGTGTCCAGATCTTTTAAAATGGGGTGGCTCAGGTGAGGCACAACTTTGTGCATGGGTGGCACCAAATGGTTATGCTTTTTTGTTTTACCCCCAAGCCTTTTGTGGACAATGAAAAGCCTATTTGAAGGTAAATTAGTGTGGTGGCACCTGGGGTGGCCAATTAGATTCTAAGGGTGGCATGTGCTACCCCAGGCCACTCCCTGGACACGCCCCTGTTCTGCACATCTCATCAGTCAGAGAAAACAAACATACAAATAAAAAGTAAAGTGCAAAAACAACAACAAATGAAATATTCACGAACCTTCTACAGCTGCGATCTAATTTAAGTGTTTTTTTTATTCTTATTATGAGCAGCAACACCAGTGAGTGACTGGTTTTACTTATTGTTTGTATCTACTGTAATTACTTTTTAGATGGGTTTTATCTATTTCTGGGGACTGTTTTTATTTTCCATGCTTGATAGTATCCTGAAATTTTAACTGTTTTTAACTAGCTGTGTACCTTATACCTGTCCCCTATACTCTGTAGCACTTTGAGATTACTTCTGTAATGTAAAGCGCATTTAAATAAAATTTATTATTATTATTATTATTATTACTGGAGCTGGTTTAAAGGCTCAGAACAGACACTATTATGTCAAAAATGCAGATTTAATAACATTTTGTGTTTCAGCTCCATCTAACAGAGCTGGAGGGGTTCGTAGAGCGCTTTCATCACAGCTACGAGTTTAATAATCATTTTATTTTCTGTCAAACTGCGTTTTGGGATCTGAACGTGTCGCACAGAACATGTTTCTGCCCGGACCGTTTTAGACGGGACACACCGAGTAAGTTGATAAGTAGATAAATTCACGTCATATCTGGCATTTGCACTGGTGTTTTACAGTAGGGAACACTTAATACACGTATTACGGTAATATGTCTCCGGCGTTAGGGGAAGTGTGGTTGCAGTTGTGCGGTTATCGTTCTGAACAACTCACTAAAGAGAGTAAAATGCCACGATTGACTCATTACACACACACACACACACACACACACACACACACACACACACACACACACACACACACACACACACACACACACACACACAGTAATACTAGCTTTAGACATTCTTAGAGCCAACTATCTGCTTCTAACTCACCGTTAGCATTGTTAGCTCAACGTTAGCCTCTAGCCTTCTTTACCCGATTTAAAGTAGAATAAATAGATGCCGTGGCAATAACTTCTGGGTCGCTCCTGTTTCCTGGCTTTGGTTCTTTTAAACAACTCTGGAGCTTTTTACCCGCTGTGGTAAAATTACAAATGCTGGCGCTGCATCGCTAGCTTGCAGCCGTTTCACAGATGGTAAACAGAGACTACGTCCCTCTTTAGCTTTTGTGAAAGATGAAAAAGTGACAGTGGGCTGAAAGGGAAAACAGTTTCGGTGTGACCTTCAGATTGAGACATTAGACCGTTTGTGATCATCTAACTGTGAAACCCCTACACGTAGTACCTTTAAGACCAAACCAAAGCACAAAGTAAAACACTACGAGTTTTAAAATGCAGGTGTCGCACAAAACCAGAGCTTTAGTGTAATAACATACAGCGCTCCTCCTTAGCGAGCTGAATGCTAAAGACGTGATGAAATTATGAAAAGAGGGAGAACTCCCGGACCTAAAAACTTAAAAACATCTTTTCCCAACTAATTAGATGCTGGAAATTAGCATCTAGTTTGTTAGCGAGCTAGCTTGCAATGAGTGGACTACTTCCTGTTTTAGAGACTCTGCCTATGTTGAAAGACGTCATGGGCGTGTTCCTTAATGAGGAGAAGTAACAGACAGAACATCTGAACTGAGTCACAACAGTAGCCCTGGGATCTTGTTGCTCGTAGTCGTGGGTCCAGATGGACCTCAGAACAGAACCGTACCGTGCTGGATCTGCTTTCAGATCCAGTGGTTCTGAGATCAAGACCGTGCCAGAAGAACATAGTAGAACCGAGGGGTCGTTTCTGAACATTTGGACCACAGATCAAGATGCGGACTTTGGTCATTAGAAGGACTTTTTGGCTCCTCTGTTCTACCAACAACCATCTGGTTCTGGTTCTGGGACACGCGTCGTGTGGGTGTGAGAACGTCTTAATGCTGTAAGGGACAAAACCAGAACCAAAGCTGAAAACCCAAACGAGCAGAACCGGGACACAGAGTCCAACACCGGGTCAGATGGTGATGTAGTGCTGCCGCAGTTTGGCCACCAGGAACTCGTGGGTTAGATTATGTCTCGTTATGATTCCAACGATCTGAAAGAACCAGCAGGCCAGAGTTTAGTCAGAACCGGGTCACTGCACACTGGACCAGAACTGATGAACTCACCTCTCCGACGGCGTTGACCACCGGGAGGTGCCGTAGACCCATGGTCCGGAACAGGTTGAAGACCTGGGAGATCCGGGTGTTGGGCGACACCGTGTATGGACTGGTGTTCATGTAGGGGGTCACATCCTGGAACCACACGGACCGTCAGCCCACTCATCAACTCCAGATTTACCTGATCCGAACCCGACGGGTCGTACCACTATCATACGGGGGCTGAGCTGGGTCAGGTCCACCTCGTGGATGTCTGGGTACCGTGGGTAGTCCTCAGTCATCTCAGCGTAAGACAGCCGCGGCTGAGTGGCGCTCTGCGTGGGAGGGAGACAGCCGTCGTGACGCATCATGAATAATAATAACTGTTGGTGGTGGTGGAAGCGGGCGGAACGGACCGACTGGTTCTCCGAGTAGCAGACCCCTCGGATGAGCAGGTTGACGAGCTGGGAGCGCAGGATGAGGCCGTGGAAGGTGAGCGGTCTGAAGCGCTCCTCCATGGTCCACTCCTCGCTGGGAGACTGGTCTGGGTACAGGTTTGGGTAGGGGGCGTGTCTGCTCAAACACACCAGAACCATTAGAGTCTGCTTGGTTCTGCTGGGCTGCTCTGATCGGGTCATTACCTGCGCTCCAGCATCTGCTGCAGCAGGTCCTCCCCCTCCTCCGCCGGCTCCACCGCGGCACTCTGCTCGTCACAGACGTTCCTCAGCTCGCTGGAGGGGTACGACTTCATGGACTGGCACCGGCGCCGCTGCTCGCCCGCGCGGGACACCACGCTGGACTTCTGGACGCCAATAAGAGTTCTGATGACAAACCGGGCCTGTGGGGACGCGTCTGGTCTGATGGGGAAGGAGGACGGGTTACCTTGAAGCGAATGTTGTTGCTGACCAGGATGTTTCCCTTCATGAAATCCCGCTCGTTCAGCCGGTTTTCGGTGACCACGGGAAAGGCGTGGAACACGGTGGTGCGGAGGATGCTGACCAGCGACTGGACCCGGGTGTGGGGGTACACGTAGGTCAGGTTGGGCTCCATGATGTCACTGGCGGTCAGCCTGACAGAGGAGAGAAATCCACGTAAAACTGGGACTGATGTAGAGATTTGAATGATAACAGGAAACAGGTTTTACGTCCACTTCCTCATCCTAACAATCAAACCTAACGTAAGCAGCAGCGCCGCACGGTTCTGGTACAGCTTCTCACCGACAGAAGAGAACCGCATCAAACATCTTTATGTCCACAAGGGTCCGACTCACGTCCTCCAATAACGTCGTCCCCGTCAGCGATCCAACAGAACGCCCAAAACATTCATCAGAAACAAAGTTTCCGTCAGATCCTTCGTTAGCATCCTCGTATTAGCTTCAAACCTTTGACCCACACCCACCCCCTTCACCTATAGAGCTCCGGACGTCACGTGACTCTCAGAGAGTAGACGCCATGTTGGCAGGCAACAAATGTAAACAAAATGAACGGGATCGGCTTGAATTTTACTCCATCTGAGTTTACTTCACACTTTAAAGCCGAAGAAATCGTTTTATATAGTCAGAAATTAAATAGACTAAACATCTTCGACCGTTACCGTGTCCCTGGGATACTTTTTAAAAACGCCAGAAGCTGTCGGAGCGGACTTGTTACCGGACCTGGCCGGGGAACGCCTTGGGATTCCCCCGGAGGAGCTGGCTCCGGCGGCTGGGGAGAGGGAAGTCTGGACCTCTCGACGCTACTGCTCCCGCAACCCGACTCCGGATACGCGGATGAAAATGGATGGATGGACAAATAACATAGATTTACATGTAAGTAGTTTAAATAGAGTGCTGTGCTGTTTGAATGTATAAACTGAACTCCAAGAGAAATCACTAGTTTGATTTTTTTCCGTGAATAACATAAATATGTCAGCAGGAGCGTCTCAGGATCTGTCTGAGATCTGACTCGGTGAGACAGATAACAGCAATCCAAAGTGCTTTTTATGTTTGATCTGACAATTGATCAACCATTGCTTAAAAATGAAATACAGCTTAGCCGGTTAATTGCTGTGATCATAAAACACGTAAACGGCAGCACGCAGAACTCACGAGGCAACGTTTTACGTGATGTTTACTTGTTACTATGAGTAATAAGACAGAAAAAGCCACGCCAAAATAAGTTTAGGAAGCCCACTAAGAATCGTAATAAAAGCATTTAAAATAAATACCACACACAGTTTAGGAAACGTTGGTTTAAGTACCTGATATGAAGCGGTCGCTGCATAAGTGAAAACCTTTACTCTCGGGATCCCACAGCTTCATTTTAGCCCGGTCACTAGTGCGTTTTATTACAATGATCCAACGTTTGCGGCGCTCCGGATCTTGGAGAATCCTGTAGATGGCTCATCCCTTATGTCGTCCGCGTCTGTTCTGCATCCTGGGGCACAACAGGAATCTACCATATTTACCGTTTGATTGAGTTTTCTCACAATAACAAATAGTCCAGCTGCCGGCTTCTGCCTGCCAATATGGCGCCGTTTCGATTTGAACTGTTGCATGCTGGGAGAAGTGACGTCAACTCCCGGAGCTCTATTGGCTAACAGGTCACGAGTGCCGCGCCCTCCTCCCGCACGAGTAACTCCCAGCTTGAAATTCAGAAACCAATAACACCTCATAAGCCCCCACGTTCTGCTTCTACAACGCTGTGATTGGTGGATGGCTGCGTGTCGGAAACCCGAGTGAGTCTGACATCACAGCGGGACCTGAGGCGTGACGATCGCGCTGCGATGTCGACCCTGAAACGAAACGAGCCGAACCGGCTCAGATCGGGCTTCGATATTCCCAGCGTACTTGTCCATCTCTGCCTCCGTCTCCCACTCCAGCAGCGGGACGCCCTTCAGCTGGACGTGGATGTCGTAGATACCTCTGTTGAAAAAGTCTCCGGTCCACTTCGCAACCTGGAAGCAAAAAGGAGAATGGGGATCAGAGGCCAATCTTTACCCAGGATGTTGATTTCTTTCATTACTTGGGTGAAAAAAAACATTTTTCTGCTGTTTTGGAGGAATTTGTATCAGCAGGACGGCTGGTACTGATTTACCCGTAAGTCCCTGCAGCAGCATGGGATTAACAGATTGCTGACTCATGATAAAGCTGTTGGCTAACTTCTTAATCTTTCCAGTAACAGATTAATGAGTTAATACGTGAAAACAGATCTCATCCTCTCTATCCGTGCTAACAGAGGCGGTACCATCAGCGTGATCATGATGGGCAGCCCAAAGGTGATCTCATTGGTGGACTCGATGAGGATGACGGTGAGGCTGATGGTCATTCTGACCACGCCCCCCAGGAAGGCCGCCGCTCCGATCAGAGCAAAGGTCCCAGAGTAGATGTCCATTCCCAGTTTCCTGCCAGAGGAGAAACTCGGGATCAGAACCAGTCAGATACGTGTCGTTGGGTTTCTGTGTCCTGATGGTTAGCGTAGCCTAGCATCAGCATCAGAGAACCACCGGTTAGCTTACTCCTAAATCTCAGCCGCAGCTAGAAGACTGTAGGAAACCAAACCCGGGTTCTGTGTGATGACCAGCAGGGGGAGACACTAAACTAGCTAACCAGGAAAAACAGCTGATTCTTGTATGTTTGAGTTTATTTGTGCAGATATTTCACTATTCTTAGTCTGTCGCCCTTTAGAGAGAGATTATTATTTATTCTCAGGCCCAAAGGAAGGCCCAGGACACGCTGGAAGGACTACGTCTCTCACCTGGCCAGGGAACGCCTTGGGATTCCCCGGAGGAGCTGGCCCGGGTGGCTGGGGAGAGGGAAGTCTGGGCCTCCCAGCTTAGGCTGCTGCCTAATCCTAATCCTGACCCAACCCCAGATAAGCATCCAGAAATGGATGGATGGATATTCATCCAGCAGCTGCTTAACCACAAAAGACCCCGTGTGTTTTATTCTACGTGATAGTAATGTTTATATCGTTTAGTCAGATTAACCCCTTCCTAGTGCCTGATTTGAGCTAATCTGTCAGATTAAAACAACTTGTTTTTACATGTGTGACATTTTCTATCCACCAGCAGTCAGAGACGGCCCAGTTCTGCAACAGGAAGAAGAGTTTGTTTTACACGCTGAGTATGTTAGCGATGAGACGTCCAAACGCTGCTCCGCAGAGGAGACACGGGACAAAGAGTCCGCTGGGGACGGAGACGCCGTAGGTCCAACAGGCCAACAGGAAGTAGAGCAGGAAGAACAGGGACAGCGTGACGGGACTGAAGGTACCTGAGAGGAACCAGAGACAGGTCAGTGATGTCATCAGGTCCCCCAGACCTCCCCCAACAGACTAATTATGGGATGTATCTAGAGAGACGCATCCTGATTTAACCAAACCACTTTCATTCGGCTGTTTGTTATTTAATTTGGGTTTAGTCTGTTTTAATAAGCAGGTTGTATAAATATCCTCATTTATTAGGATTATTAGGCCTTCTCATGTTTATAACCTAGCTGTTAATCACAGAAAATCATTTAGCAGTTAACACCTTTAACTTTCTGTTTCTCTTTGGGGGTGATGGCTCTAATATAAGGATAATATAATAATAATAATAATAATAATAATAATAATAATAATAATAATAATAATAATAATAATAATATTGATAACATGGTAAAAATGATAGAATGCTAAGAATGAAGCTTTATGATCAAACAACCCCATACTTTATTACATTATTTATTTATTTTAAAAGGTGGATGAAAACAAGCTCCAGCAGCCAGTTAGACGTCGTTAAAGTCAGGTTTGTTTTAAGCACGATAAATAAAGAAAAACTAGATTTTTTAAAAAGTATTTTCAGGTTTTTATGGTTTTATTTGAAACCTGGAACAAGATTCAGTCTCCTTTATCAACTTTAACTCATTCGCTGCCAGCGTTTCTCACCATTTTTACTTTAAAAAAAAAAACGATCTCCTAACACATGGATGTTCTGCTTCCTGATCACGTGACGTGTGACGTATACGGATGAAGACCGGCTTTAGAGCTGAGATGTTTGTTCTCACGGAGCGGGGGCTCGTCCGACGCCCACGCAGTAAAAACATGCAAGTTGGCAGGGAACGAGTTAAAGAGCAAGTCACTCCCTACCGGAGTAGCACTCCACTCCCACTTCCCGTTTGAAAAATGCAACAAATGCTGTTGCCTAGCAGACCGAGAGGGCGGAGCCGCTAACAAACACACACGCACACAGGCTCACAACGACATTGTGACATCATATGGTACCAACTAACGTTCTAGGGTACCTCTTAGCCAATAGCGATGGAAGATTTAAATTCAAATGCAGTGCAGAGTTTTTACCTGAAGAGGGCGCATCACTGACAGTTTTAGGCAGAAATTTTTAACTAAAATGCACTCAAGTGCTAAACTATTAACTACACGTGTCTGCAGCACGATTAGACACGCATTTATAAAAAAGTTGATTTGGGGGTGACTTGCTCTTTAACTAACTTATCAAGGCCACTAAAACCAGAGAAGCTCTTTGTTAGATCTGGACCCACAGATGAAGTCACGCAGCAGAAACGACGATGCTGCAGGTGTGATTTTAGAAAATTCTTTTTGGTTTTTTTTTTTGAATTGGGAAAAACAAAACCTTCCTGAAACGTGAATGTTAGCGGTTATCCCTGCTGTTTGATCCCAGTAGGAACAAGGCTATCCCAGCAGGCCGGCGTTCTTCCTGTCAAGAACGTTAAAGAGCAAGTCACCCCCAAATCCACTTTTTCTGATAAACGATAGAAAGGGAAGTCTCATCGTGCAGTAGACGCATGTAGACAATAATCTGGCACTTCCGTGCATCTGGGCAGCAGTAGGTCAACAGGTTGAGCGGGTCGTCCAGTAATCGGAAGGTTGCAGGTTCGATCCTGGCTCCGGACAGAGAATTCTGCTGTTGTGTCCTTGGGCAAGACACTTAACCCGTAAGCCTATTGGTGGTGGGAGGGACCGGTGGCGCCTGTGCTCGGACGCCTCGCCTCTGTCAGTGCGCCCCAGGGCAGCTGTGGCTACATCGTAGCTCATCACCACCAGTGTGTGAATGGATGAATGACACACTGTAGTGTAAAGCGCTGTGGAGTCCTTACTCTGAGAGGCGCGACACAAGTGCGGGTCATTCGTCATTTATCTTAGTTAAAAGTCTGATGCGGTGCTTTTGCTCACCGTCCTGGTGGAAGAGCTGGTGGATCGCTGCCTCCTGTGAGTTGAAGAACAAAGTGGCCATGTCGTTGTAGGTCTTGTTGGAGCAGAAGAACTGTCGGACGGTCGAGTTGATCTCATCGCTGCCGGACAGCTGGGAAAAACATGGAAATTTCATTCGAGGCGGGAAAAATGGGACAGCGCCGGAGTGTGAAAGCTCAGCCGAGGAAATACCCACGGAGAAGTGGTGCTGCGCACTTACTGTGGTGTTATGGGTGGGGGGGGCAGATAGGTCACGACATTCACCCAACAGAATAGAAGCTGAAAATATCACTATTGTTGTAACCATGGCAACCAAAAGGCTTTCAAGCACCCTGAGGAAGAAAGACCAAGAATGAAAATGTGCATCAGGTTTACTATTCAGAGGGCTGATCTGTGTGTGTGTGTGTGGGAGGGGGGTTAAAGGTCACCTGATGAACTTGGCTTTGGGGTGAATGTGTCTCATCCGATACTTGGCCAGAATCTTGTTCATACAGTTGAAGAGCGCCCCCAGGAGGCCACCGACCACCCCCATCAGCACAAAGAAGGCCAGGTCCACTGCGGTCCACAGGTGGCAGGTCTTATCGCCCTCTGGACACTGGTCACACAAAGTCAATCACAATAAAACAAAGTAACGGATCTAAACTCAAGAGTAAAGCCAAACCTCAGCGTGGATCTGGAGCAGAAGCTAAATAAAGCAGGAATAACATTATTTCCCTGAATCAGCATCCAGCGAGAACAGAGAGGAGGAGACGCGACAGCTGGACAGGAAAAACGTTTGATTTGGAATTAAAATAAACATCTGAATCGTTTCGATGTTATTTGGAAAAGAAAAACTTTAAAATGAAATAATGCAGGTAATATACCCTCACAGTCAGGAAACACAAAGGTCTTTACCTTGAATTCTCCAAAGTTGAGCAGCCCGGGCAGCTGGAACGAACCCCACTTGTTAAAGTTGATCCCAGAGCGGAAGAAGTTGAGCGTAAAGGTGGCCGACATCGAACAGAAGAGCTGAAAACAAACATCAGATCTCTGATTTCAGACGTCCCAAAGCTGATAGTGCAGCGGGGCTTCAGGGCTGGAAACTTCATTAGCATTTTGATTTTAGCATTAGCTAACGTACCACTTTCCAGGTAAGGGCCTGGTTCCAGAAGGACGAGCCCTCCTCCAGACTGAAGAGGGTTCCCCCGATCGGAGCGCCAAAGGCAGCAGCCACTCCTGCCGCAGCTCCAGCAGACACAAAGTCCCGCTTGTCTCTGGAGGACACATTTATGTTCCTGGTAAAACTCACAGGTGAGGCGTAAACAGCAGCAGGGGGACATACCTGTCACTGCGGAAGTAGGGAAAATCAAACTTTATCCTTTTGAAGGTGATGCTCTGAAACTGGAGGAGAGGAGGATAGATATGAGGCTAAAGCAGGGGTGCCCAATCCCGGTCCTGGAGGGCCGGCATCCTGCATGTTTTAGTTTGACACCTGCTTCAACACACCTGATTTCAATCAGCAGCTAATTAACAGGCTTCTGCAGAGCCCGATGAGCTGCTGCACAAGTGTTTCCACCACTGAATCAAGTCTGTTGGAGCCCAGAACAAAAAAAAAACCTGCTGGATACCGGACCGCCAGGACCGGAATTAGGCACCCCTGAGCTAAAGCATCAAGAGACGCGGAAAAGATTTGGACTCAGAATTTTTAGAAATGAGACACGAGTCCATCCATAATCCATCATTATCATCCATCCATCCAGCAATCATTCATCCATCCATCCATCATCATCATCATCCATCATCATCATCCATCCATCCAGCAATCATTCATCCATCCATCCATCATCATCATCCATCCATCCAGCAATCATTCATCCATCCATCCAGCAATCATTCATCCATCCATCCATCATCATCATCATCCATCATCATCATCCATCCATCCAGCAATCATTCATCCATCCATCCATCATCATCATCATCCATCATCATCATCCATCCATCCAGCAATCATTCATCCATCCATCCAGCAATCATTCATCCATCCATCCATCAATCATTCATCCATCCATCATCCATCAATCATCATCCATTATCCATCCATCATTCATCTATTCATCCATCCATCCATCCATCCAGCAATCATTCATCCATCCATCCATCATCATCATCATCCATCCATCCAGCAATCATTCATCCATCCATCCAGCAATCATTCATCCATCCATCCATCAATCATTCATCCATCCATCATCCATCAATCATCATCCATTATCCATCCATCATTCATCTATTCATCCATCCATCCATCCATCCAGCAATCATTCATCCATCCATCCATCATCATCATCCATCCATCCAGCAATCATTCATCCATCCATCCATCCATCAATCATTCATCCATCCATCATCCATCAATCATCATCCATTATCCATCCATCATTCATCTATTCATCCATCCATCCATCCATCCATCCAGCAATCATTCATCCATCCATCCATCATCATCATCCATCCATCCAGCAATCATTCATCCATCCATCATCATCATCATCATCATCCATCCATCATCATCATCCATCCATCCATCCATCATCATCATCCATCCATCAATCATTCATCCATCCATCATCATCATCCATCCATCCATCCAGCAATCATTCATCCATCCATCCATCATCATCATCCATCCATCCATCATCATCTATTCATCCATCCATCCATCAATCATTCGTCCATCCACAATCCATCATCATCCATCCATCAATCATTCATCCATCCATAATCCATCATCATCAATCCATCCATCCATCATCTATTCATCCATCCATCCATCAATCATTCGTCCATCCACAATCCATCATCATCCATCCATCAATCATTCATCCATCCATAATCCATCATCATCAATCCATCCATCCATCCATAATCATCCATCATTCATCTATTCATCCATCCATCCATCAATCATTCATCCATCCACAATCCATCATCATCCATCCATCAACCATTCATCCATCCACAATCCATCATCATCCATCCATCAATCATTCATCCATCCATCCATCAATCATTCATCCATCCATCCATCCATCAATCATTCATCCATCCATCATCATCCATCCATCCATCAATCATTCATCCATCCATCCATCAATCATTCATCCATCCATCATCCATCATCATCGTCCATCCATCAATCATTCATCCATCCATCATCATCCATCATCACCATCCATCGTCCATCCATCCATCAATCATTCAGAAAGTATCATCCATCCATCCATCAATCATTCATCCATTATCCATCCATCATTCATCTATTCATCCATCCATCAATCATTCATCCATCCATAATCCATCATCATCCATCCATCCATCAATCATTCATCCATCCATCATCCATCATCATCGTCCATCCATCAATCATTCATCCATCCATCATCCATCATCATCCATCCATCATCATCATCCATCGTCCACCATCATCCATCCATCATCATCATCCATCGTCCATCATCCATAATCTATCCATCATCCATCATCATCCATCCATCATCATCCATCGTCCATCCATCCATCAATCATTCAGAAATCATCATCCATCCATCCATCAATCAATCATTCATCAATCATCATCCATCTATTCATCCATCCACTAGAGGATAAATTGATGGAAAAATAAAGACATCTCTCCTGCACTGTTGGCTAATTATCTAGCAGCTAGTAGCATTTAAAACTATATATTTAGATAAAAAGTTAATTAAATGGTAAATGGCCTGTATTTGATATCGCGCCTTCTAGAGTCCTGGAACCCCCCAAGGCGCTTTACAACACAATCAGTCATTCACCCATTCACACACACATTCACACACTGGTGGCGATGAGCTACCAGTATCTAATTAGATAAAAATCTAATTAGAAATTTAGACAAAAATTTAATGAAAAGCCAGAAATGATGGATGGTGGAACAACTGGATGAAACCATTCCCACATTCCTAGATAGAAGTGGTATTTACTCCCCACTCCAAGTGGAAATCAGAATTCCTGTGGTGTGTTACTTCAATTCTGCAGAAGTACCTGAGGAAGACCAGCTCCCACGATGGCTCCACTGTGTATCATGGGACCTTCTTTTCCCACAAACAGACCTGAGTAAACAAGCAGAGCCAGAGTTGTTTACTACAAACCCTCTCATCACAACTGATGATCACATGAATAAACCTGGACACACATCTCATGTCATCAGTTCCTACAACCAGGCTCATGTTGTCACAGCAGCAAGACAGTGTTCCCCTGATTGAACTCAGCTTCTTTAAAAGGTTATTAAATCAGCTTTTAATGATGAAAACTACAGTTGGAAGTTTTATTTTGGCCTGAAGCTTTGGCTGGGTGAAAAAAATCACGATATTTTAGGGTCAAATCACTATTTCATCATGATTGATAGTTTGGTCCCATGTGCTGACGTAATGATAATAGAAGCAGCTGTGCTTCCAGTCGGTGATGTTGGAGTGGGAACGGCGCTGAGCTCCACACCCGGATATTAGCCGGATCCTGAGCCTCAACTAAAGAGAATTTTAATAACAATAAAAATCCAAATTAAACTAATGCAGTGAGTAAAAAGCTTAGACGTCGGACTAACCGAGTTCTTCTGAATAAAAACACCTGAAGCCCGTTTACCTCCAGCCACGCTGAACAGGACTCCAGCAGCTTTGCAGAGAAACGTTCTCAATCTCACGATTCCAGGAATCTTCACTCCGTTCAAGTAACTTTTGATTTCTGGGATACCAGAGCCTGCAGCTACCGGCTGAAAAGCAGAAGAGCAGAAATAAGCTAGGTTTATCACCACAATACTAAAACACCAGACCACAACCACGGAGGAGAATAAAATCCTCAACGAGGAGAAGAAGCCCATCACTTCCTGTAAAGGATGGAATTCATAAAGATGAAGAAAAGAGAAAGATTTAGGATTAAATTAGATTAGAGCGATAGTGAGCTGTACAGGGTCCTAGAACGTTGTTTATTTTGCCTCCATAAAACATCATTTCAGTGTGTTATGGTTACAGTTAGTTACTGTGTTATCATTTCATGACAAAAATGAGAATCGTTAGAAATCTAAAACTACAGATGAAAAATGTCTGATTATGTGAGAAAATGTCAGATTAAAAGTCTCAGATACCAAATCAGGATTTGTTTTAATGTGGCTATCACCGTGGTAACAGAGGCTTGCTCTAGGTCACCGTGGTAACAGAGGCTTGCTCTAGGTCACCGTGGTAACAGAGGCTTAGCTCTAGATCACTGTGGTAACAGAGGCTTGCTCTAGATCACCGTGGTAACAGAAGCTTAGCTCTAGATCACCGTGGTAACAGAAGCTTAGCTCTTGATTAGGGCTGCAACAACGAATCGATAAATTCGATGAAAATCGATTACTAAAAGTGTTGGCAACGAATTGCGTCATCGATTCGTTGTGTTGCGCAACTCTTCCAAAAGCCCCCTCCCCTCCCGCCCGCCGTTGCACGCAGACCGGTGGAGAGCCGGCAGGTGTTTGCAAGAGGAACATGGCAGAAGCAGCGAGACCCCAAAAAAGTAAAAACTTCTAAAGTTTGGGAGCATTTTCAGTTAAATCAGGCGAAGACATGCAACGTTTGTAGGTCAGACTTAGCATGGCACGGGGATACTACGGTGATGATGCAGCGTCTTAAACGCAAGCATGTCAGAATCATCAGCGAGGAAGGAGAGAGCTCGGTGTCCGGGTAAGTTAAAAACTTTTCAAAAGTGATTCACCCAAGCCCCGGATTATTACACAGGCTAGACATGCCCTAAGCTCGTAAAAAAAGTCTATAAAATTGTAAGCACGACGCTATTAGATAGGCGGGGGGGGGGGGGGGGGGGGGGGGAACGGACGGACGGACTCGCGCCTCTGCGAACCGGTTCCGCCGTCACATTCCCGCAGAAACTGGTTGATCACACCAGGGCCAGACTACTAGCATGTGGTTTTTCAACCACAATGTCCTCAGAAGCGAAAACGCTTTTAAAAGGGAGGGAGGAGTCCTAACTGTTGCTGCAGGCGTGTTGTGTGAGAGTGCAGTTATATACTGGTTAATATATGTTTGGGTTCAGTTGCTTTCATGTGGCCTAATGCGAGTCTATTTGGGATCATTGGAATGATCAGCAGCATTTCTTGATGTGACTTTATGGCAGTTGCCCAGGGCATCATCGCAAGGAGGATGGCATTCATTTTCTTTTGTTTTATTTGGTATTTTTTCAGTCATTTTTGGAAATAGTGATTAATTTTGATTAATTCACAGCCTATATTTAATTACATTTAAAAATTAGTTGTTTGACATCCCCAATTATAATAAATGTCTACAGATGAGATCAAACAAAACAGATGAGAATTGCCCTTAAAGAGCAAGTCACCCCCAAATAAACTTTTTTTTGCTGATGAACTAAATAAACGAGTGTCTAATCGTGCTGCAGACGCGTGTCGTCAATAACTTGGCACTTCAGTGCATCTTAGTTAAAATTTAAATATTCTGCCTAAAACTGGCAGTGTTGTGCCGTTGTCAGGTAAAAACTCTGCACTGTATTTTAATTTAAATCTGCCACTGCTATTGGCTATGATGTAAACTGGTACATTATGATGTCACAATGCTGTCATGAGCCTGAGTGTGTGTGTATTTGTTAGCGGCTCCGACCTCTCGGTCTGCCAGGCAACAGCATGTGTTGCATTTTTCAAACATGAAGTGGGAGTGGAGTTAGACTCTGGTAGGGGTTGACTTGCTCTTTAAGCTGTTTAACTTGGACCAAGCATTTTAGGTCACAGATAGGTGTAGCTTAGGGTCTCTGTCTATACACCTTATAAGACAATTTAGGTGATGGCATGTTGTTTTTCTACTATTGAACTGTTTTCTAATAATGTTGTGTTTAATAAAGTGAAGGAAGGAGAAAAATAACGTTTCCCTAGCAGTTTTTAAAAATGTCCCCATGTAATCCGATTAATCGATTAATCGTGTCGAGACCCCATCCGATTAATCGATTATCCAAATAATCATTTGTTGCAGCCCTACTCTTGATCACCGTGGTAACAGAAGCTTAGCTCTTGATCACCGTGGTAACAGAGGCTTAGCTCTAGATCACCGTGGTAACAGAAGCTTAGCTCTTGATCACCGTGGTAACAGAAGCTTAGCTCTTGATCACCGTGGTAACAGAAGCTTAGCTCTTGATCACCGTGGTAACAGAAGCTTAGCTCTTGATCACCGTGGTAACAGAAGCTTAGCTCTTGATCACCGTGGTAACAGAGGTTTAGCTCTAGGTCACCATCATTACAGAGGCTTGCTCTAGATCACCGTGGTAACAGAAGCTTAGCTCTTGATCACCGTGGTAACAGAGGCTTAGCTCTTGATCACCGTGGTAACAGAAGCTTAGCTCTTGATCACCGTGGTAACAGAAGCTTAGCTCTTGATCACTGTGGTAACAGAGGTTTAGCTCTAGGTCACCATCATTACAGAGGCTTGCTCTAGATCACCGTGGTAACAGAAGCTTAGCTCTTGATCACCGTGGTAACAGAGGCTTAGCTCTACATCACCATGGTAACAGAGGCTTAGCTCTAGATCACCGTGGTAACAGAAGCTTAGCTCTTGATCACCGTGGTAACAGAAGCTGAGCTCTTGATCACCGTGGTAACAGAGGCTTAGCTCTTGATCACCGTGGTAACAGAAGCTTAGCTCTTGATCACCGTGGTAACAGAAGCTTAGCTCTTGATCACTGTGGTAACAGAGGTTTAGCTCTAGGTCACCATCATTACAGAGGCTTGCTCTAGATCACCGTGGTAACAGATGCTTAGCTCTTGATCACCATGGTAACAGAGGCTTAGCTCTAGATCACCGTGGTAACAGAAGCTTAGCTCTTGATCACCGTGGTAACAGAAGCTGAGCTCTTGATCACCGTGGTAACAGAAGCTTAGCTCTTGATCACCGTGGTAACAGAAGCTTAGCTCTTGATCACCGTGGTAACAGAAGCTTAGCTCTTGATCACCGTGGTAACAGAGGCTTAGCTCTACATCACCATGGTAACAGAGGCTTAGCTCTAGATCACCATGGTAACAGAGGCTTGCGCTAGATCACCATGGTAACAGAAGCTTAGCTCTTGATCACCGTGGTAACAGAAGCTTAGCTCTTGATCACCGTGGTAACAGAAGCTTAGCTCTTGATCACCGTGGTAACAGAAGCTTAGCTCTTGATCACCGTGGTAACAGAGGCTTAGCTCTACATCACCATGGTAACAGAGGCTTAGCTCTAGATCACCGTGGTAACAGAGGCTTGCGCTAGATCACCATGGTAACAGAGGCTTAGCTCTAGATCACCATGGTAACAGAGTCTTAGCTCTAGATCACCGTGGTAACAGAGGCTTGCGCTAGATCACCATGGTAACAGAGGCTTAGATCTAGATCACCCTGGTAACAGAGGCTTGCTCTAGATCACCATGGTAACAGAGGCTTAGCTCTAGATCACCATGGTAACAGAGTCTTAGCTCTAGATCACCGTGGTAACAGAGGCTTGCGCTAGATCACCATGGTAACAGAGTCTTAGCTCTAGATCACCATGGTAACAGAGGCTTAGCTCTAGATCAGTAGATGGGCAGTTACCTCTACGAGGACGAGCACACTGGCGATGAAGATGAAGGCCATGTTGAACGACAGAAGTTCCAGGAGAGACAACGTGAGGCAGCCATTATTGCTGCACTTCTCTATAGCTGCAGGCATTCGGCTAAGGAACACCACTGCTCTTGTTCAGCAGTTTCATAAAAACAGTCAGTTATCCTGATTTACAATATCTTCATTTCAGCGCTGCATCACAGAACACCTGTGCATCAGTGACCACGTGTGCATTCAAGGATACAATCACCAACCAGAGAGAACTTGACTTTAGTGAAGAGATGCACAAAGAAGTCCACGAACAGGCCAACCTGGAAGAGACAAGGAGCATCATTCCTGTTCATCTGCAGCAAGACTGAAAAAAGCTGAAATGTACCTACCAGACCGACGGTGACCCCAATCACAAACACCATCATCCACCGCACCGCCTCGTACTTTCTGCCTTTCTGTTGACAAAAACATGTCCGTGTAATTCAGACAGGGAACTTTTCTCCCCAGGTCTCAGTTAAAACAGGGGCTTAAAGAGCAGAGCACTCACACCTACAGAAAATAGGATTTAATGTTACTCACCTTGTTGTCCATGCCCTCCAGAACCTCCACGTAGGGCTCATTGATGCAGCGGTCGTAATCCAAACTCTAGTCAACCACAGAGATACAGCCACTGTTAGCATTAATCAGCTGTTGATGATGTCACATTTCCACAGGAAGCTGTTTCTGCAGTCCCGCCCACAACCTCTTTCATGATTATTTGCAGAGGAAAAAGATCAATAGAGCTTGTTCTTTCCCAGTTTTAATGCAACACTTCTGGTTTTTAATATTTCTGCAGCAGCGATTGTATAATTCCTAATCATTAAAAGATTTGAAAATGTTTTTACAACTATGATTGTGAATGAGTACCCACTGACTGGGCTGAAAACGAGTGAATGAGTGAGAACCTACTGAACAAGACTGTTTTAAACCAAAGTCTGTTCCTCACAAATTAAAAGTCCTGGATCAGCACTTTCAGGGACCGCTCACCTCATAGTCCTTCCTGGGTAGGATCTCATCTTCTTCATCTCGAATTTCACCAAGAATCGTCTAAAAGAACCAGATGAATGTCCATCAATGCCCAAAAGAGCGCACAGACAGCTGGAAACTGGAGAGCTCAGACGCGTTAAAACGAATTTTGTGGAGGTGCAACAAAAACGCCCGGTGACCGGAATCATCCAAGATTCAGAGAGCGGGTGATTTTTTTAATTCACCATCTCCCAGCAGCAATAACGTAAATAAATCAAGTTTTCCTACTAAGTGGCCTCATTATAAGGAAGATTTCTGTTAATTGTAATTTTATTAGATTAATCAGAATTAGCAGAAATTCGTATCAGAGCTGTGCTCGGTATCGGCCCTAAAAACTAGATTTAGTGCATCTTAAATAAAATGTTTTAGAATCAGATTACATTCAGAATGAGTTTAATGTAGGATTAGGGAATATAAACTGTTATTGGAACTGCAGTGCAGGTAAATGAACTCGCTCAGGCTCAAAAACACCTGCAAAGACTGAACCTTGGTGAAAGAAAAGGGCTAAAACAACAGTGACAACATAAAAACGAGAAGGTCAGAAACTAAATGAGACGTAACTACTGTAAATAATCTTGCGGCTAGCTAGCCTCTCCGCATCAGGGAGGAACAGAACCAGAGAGACTCTAATTCCGTTAAAACTCCACTGAACCGGACCGGGAGGTGCTCCGGTGGGCTATTCGCTCGGTTATCGGTGGTTTCTCACCAGTTCCTCCGGAGTCCGCGTCTCCGTTTCTCTACAGCAACACTGACAACAAAAACAGTTCCGACAGCAGCCCGCCATCTTTGCTGTTGTGTCATGGTGCATTCACGTACTGCGGGAAAACTCTAAACCAGCGTAAAATAAACACGCTTCAGAGGAATTCTGATACACGCCATGCTGTCGTCTTATAGGAAATAAAACACCCACAGTAAAAAGTTTATTGGTGCGAATATTTACTCTCAATAAATTTAAAATCAGTGCTACTGTGTGTTAGAAATACACATTTACGGAGATGTTTGAACGTTGCAGGTTTGTCTCACGTGACACCACTTTTTAAACTATTTTATCAAAAAGCAACGTTTAAATCACTCGTTAGTGTATCGTTACAACATTACAGCTAACTTTTACAAAGGTATTGGAGTGATTTGTGTGTGTGTGTGTGTGTGTGTGTGTGTGTGTGTGTGTGTGTGTGTGTGTGTGTGTGTGTGTGTGTGTGTGTGTGTGTGTGTGTGTGTAAGGGGGGTAGTTATGAGCAACAAAATCAGGAAAAGACCTGTCGAGTATTTTAATTTTGCTTTTATTATCACTGCAGAACAGTTGTGTCACTTCATGTATGAGTGAATGAGTGAGTTTATAGCAAACAGGTGCAGAGAATACATTTAGCAAATATTACATCCATCCATCCATTTTCAGCTGCCTAACTGGGGTCGGGTCACGGGGGCGGCAGCATAAGTCGAGAGGCCCAGACTTCTCTCAGCCACTTGGGCAATCCCAAGGTGTTCCCTGGCCAGCCGAGAGACATGGTCTCTCCAGAGTGTCCCGGGTCTTCCTTTAGGCCTTCTGCCAGTTGGACGTGCCTGGAAAACCTCACCAGGGAGGTGTCCAGGAGGCATCCTGGCCAGGTGTCGGGGCCACCTCAACTGACTCCTCTCGATATGGAGGAGCAGCCGCTCTACTCCGAGTCCCTCCCGAATGCCAGGGCTCCTCACCCTATCCCTAAGGCTGAGCCCAGCCACCCTGTGGAGAAAACTCATTTCTGCTGCTTGTATCAGCAACCTTGCTTTCCGGCTCAGCTCCTTCTTCACCACAACAGACCGGTTCATCGTCCGCATCACTGCAGACGCTGCCCCAATCTGCCCGTCGATCTACCGCTCCCTCAATCGCGAGCAAGACTCCCGAATTACTTGAACTCCTCCACTTGAGGAAGGACCTCTCTACCGACCTGGAGTTGGCAAGCCGCCCTTTTCCGGTGGAGAACCATGGTCTCAGACTTGGAGGTGTTGATCCTCATCCCAGCCGCTTCCCACTCGGCTGCGAACCTCCTCAGCAAGAGCTGTAGGTCAGAGCCTGATGAAGCTAGGAGGACCACATCATCTGCATAAAACAGAGACGAAATTCTCCTGCCACCAAACTACACACCCTCAACACCACGGCTGCACCTAGAAACCCGGTCCATAAACGTTGTGAACAGGACCGGTGGCGGAGTCCAACCCTCAAGGAGGAGCACCAAATTGTTCTTATTTATATTTGGTTTTAATTGAATTTAGCATTTTTACTAGAACTAAAAATAATCATGTCTGAGAGTGTTTACTGGTCTTTGAACAACGAACTAATAGTTTGAAGTCTGACATGTTTCACTAGAAACCATAAACCTCCTGATAGCTTCATTTACTTTATTAGGAGTCTAGCATGGACCGTGGGAGCCAGCAGCCCTGCCTGTGCTAGCTGCTGCTCCACATAAAACAGCAGAAAGACACAAAACCACCAGAGATGACTTTCATTAGATTTTATTGATCTTATTCCATCTCTACTTATAGTTTCATTCATTTCTGTGTTTTCATCAGTTTGACTCAATTCGATGCTGGACTAAATATCGTGTTTGTCATTTCTAGTCAGACAGAAAAGAGTCTGGAGACTCGAAAACGAGAAGAACGAAGCTTTTTCCTTCAGGGCTCCAGGGTCACAGCAGCATCCCTATGGGCTCGTTTTTTTAGACTGGCACTCGTAGGCCAGCTCCAGGTACTTGTAGGTTCCGGTGCAGGGGTCTGTTAAAACCTTCGTACTGACCTCGATGATGCAGCTGTTTTCCTCGTTGCATCTGTGGATGAAGAGCAACACAACATTAAAGGTTCATCCTCTCATCCTGTGGGTAAATCATATGAGATGAAATGAACTGTAGCTACTTGTGAGCAACGATGTCAGTGACGGATTTGGAGCAATCACAATTCTGAATCTCAGATTCAGGGCGCCCTTTAGAACAGGTCTTCTTATCTTGGCGTCCAAAGTAGGCCCCCAATATGGAGATCAGCTGTCGTCGACCTGCAGAAATGTTTTCATCAACCAGATGTTTCTGCAGCAGAGGAACTTAGAGCACGAGTGGAGGTTGGGATAGCAAACGGAATTCTCTGGATACGTTTTGCTCCGGGTGGAATCCAGACGCTGGGACACATCTTTGGAAAATTAAACTATTAAATTGAAAACATCTGTGAAAGTTTGTCGTCTTTTATCACTTTAGCACCAATAATATTAGACATTTTAGATGATTGTTATCCTACATGGGCGCATTTGGGTCCTCATTGCCCCACGGGAAACATTTCATTGTTGTTTACTGGATGTGAAGATGAAAGGGTGAACAGGTCAGCGTGAATGAAGCTTCACAGTAATTAGAATAAAAAACTGAAACTCACCACACTTGATTTGGACCGTTGAACCTTCACAGATGGTCTTGTGAGCTGCCAAAGCAACAAAGTTTCATTCAGGATCAGTTCAGGTTAAACATTCTCTGAGGGAAAAGGAGGTTTGATGATGTCACTGACTCGCTCGGACGCAGATGTAATCAGTCTCCAGGTATTTGCTGACTGTAGGGCAGGGGTCGGACGTGTGGAGTTCCTTCATGTTTAGCTCATACTTTTTCTTACCGTCACACCTGGAGGGAAAAACACGGAAAACCAAATAAACAAAAGATGAGTCAGCAAATTAAATCTCCAGGCTGTCAGGATCGTTGGATTAATTATGTCAACGATCAAAAATAATCTCATTTATTCAGAAAAGCTTTGATGGCAGAAAGTTCTCATCTGTGTTTTTATCTTGCAGAGATTAGCCAGCAGATGTTTGCAGTCTGGTTCTGGTTCTCTTTAATCTGCTGCAATCTGGTTCTGGTTATTTTTATTCTGTAGCAGTCTGGTTCTGGTTCTCTTTAATCTGCTGCAATCTGGTTCTGGTTCTCTTTAATCTGCTGCAATCTGGTTCTGGTTCTCTTTAATCTGCTGCAATCTGGTTCTGGTTCTCTTTAATCTGCTGCAATCTGGTTCTGGTTCTTTTTATTCTGTAGCAGTCTAGTTCTGGTTCTCTTTAATCTGCTGCAATCTGGTTCTGGTTCTCTTTAATCTGCTGCAATCTGGTTCTGGTTCTCTTTAATCTGCTGCAATCTGGTTCTGGTTCTCTTTAATCTGCTGCAATCTGGTTCTGGTTCTCTTTAATCTGCTGCAATCTGGTTCTGGTTCTTTTTATTCTGTAGCAGTCTAGTTCTGGTTCTCTTTAATCTGCTGCAATCTGGTTCTGGTTCTCTTTAATCTGCTGCAATCTGGTTCTGGTTCTCTTTAATCTGCTGCAATCTGGTTCTGGTTCTTTTTATTCTGTAGCAGTCTAGTTCTGGTTCTCTTTAATCTGCTGCAATCTGGTTCTGGTTCTCTTTAATCTGCTGTAGTCTGGTTCTGGTTCTCTTTAATCTGCTGCAGTTTGGTTCTGGTTCTCTTTAATCTGCTGCAATCTGGTTCTGGTTCTCTTTATTCTGCAGCAGTCTGGTTCTGGTTCTCTTTAATCTGCTGCAATCTGGTTCTGGTTCTCTTTAATCTGCTGCAATCTGGTTCTGGTTCTCTTTAATCTGCTGCAATCTGGTTCTGGTTCTCTTTAATCTGCTGCAATCTGGTTCTGGTTCTCTTTAATCTACTGCAGTCTGGTTCTGGTTCTCTTTATTCTGCAGCAGTCTGGTTCTGGTTCTCTTTAATCTGCTGTAGTCTGGTTCTGGTTCTCTTTAATCTACTGCAGTCTGATTCTGGTTCTCTTTAATCTGCAGCAGGTTGTTGACATGTACCTTGACTTGATTAACTCCTTCGTTCCAGTCTGAGAACACGTGGTGTGCGGATTTGGTAGTGCACGAACGCCGGCGGACGGGCAGGGCTCGCTGTCTTTACGTCCATACATAGCATCCTTCAAGAGGATCACTCCATAATCTGTCAGAGCATACAGAGTTTCAGGGGATGTTACCTAACCCTCACGCAGATCTGGGATCTGCAGCTCAGCAGGCTAAAAATGAAGCCACGGTCATCTAAATGATCAGCTGTTCGCTTGCTTTGAAGAAAAATTGCGTCAAATTTCCACAACAGACTGAAACTAGATTCACCATCGAAGTTATCAGATGAAGAAGTGGTTCAGAACGCCTGTGCTCGGCTTCTGACCAAGTCCTCCAAACACACCCACATCACCCCGCTTCTCCTCCAGCTTCACTGGCTGCCAGTCAACTTCAGGGTTCATTTCAAGATCCTGGTTCTGGTCTATAGGGCCTTACATGGACAAGCACCATCTTACATTGGTGATCTTCTTAGTCCCTACACCCCCAGCAGGTCCCTGAGGTCCAGTGATCAAAGCCTACTGGTTGTGCAGCACCAGGCTAAAGGTCAAAGGTGACAGATCATCTGCTGCTGTGGCCCCCAGACTCTGGACCTCTCTCCCCCTGAGCCTGAGATCAGTGGACTCAGTGGTCTCCTTTAAACTCACCTGTTCAGGCTTTGGTGTGACCTTCATCACCCTCTCCTGGTTCTGCTCTCCCCACCTATTCCACCTTCCTCAGGATCCACTGGTTTCCCTCTTTCCTGTTCACCCTCTCTCTTTCTTTACGTTTTTTAATCACAGTTGTCTATTTTTGCTCATTTTAAATATTTTTAATCATTTTCTAAATTCTATATTTAATAGTTTTGGTTTTTGTGAAGCGCCTCGTGATTTTGATCTTGAGAGGCTCTATAGAAAAGATCTTTTCTTCTTGGTTTTTAGATTTTTACACCATTCTCCACAAATATGAACGTCTGGAAGAGGAAAATCCAAAAAGTGACATTTTTCTTAATTTTAAAACCTAAAACTGTCTTTTTCCAAAGTGACACAGAATCCTTTATGGTGGTTATTTAAAATAAGGATGAGGGCCTAGAATAAATGACAGTTCTAACCTTTAATCTCAGAACTTTGAGTAATGAAACTTTATAAGTTGCTCTGATCATTTCCTGTGTTTTAGAAACGGTCTGAAATAAAGTTTTATTTAGTTTCACTGAGAGAAAAATCGGCTCTTTAGTCTGTGAAAGCTGCAGACTCCTGATCTAGACCACAAGGCTGCCCGACGTCTTCCCCCAGGGGCTGATGGGTAAAATCCCCTCTAATCCAGGGTTTCTACTCCTGCCGCAGGTTTGGGATTAAACCAGAGAAGAAGACGTACCACAGCTCATGCGGTGAACATTGTGATCATCACAGGTGATCGTTGACATAGAGGAAGCTCCTGCAAGCAGAGATGAACACATGAATAGAGTCTCCATCAAACTCACCAGTGAGGGTTAAACAGACAGGTTACCTGTAAAGGTGAGCAAGAACACCAGAGCCACACCTGGAAGAGACGAGAGAAAACAGCTGATTCCCAGGTTGGGAGGGGGACTCCCAGTTTGACTTGGAGCAGCATGAGCTGCAGAATGTCTCCAGAACCAGGATTTAAGTGGTCCTGTTTCCTTTTTCAGGAACATCCATGTGAAGTTTTACAGCTTCGGAGTCAGAATGTGTTTCTAATAAAACAACGATCCGCCCAAGCGTCCAGTTTCCGTCTTTTTAACAGGAAAACGATTTCATCCTTTTAATCCAACGTCTCAGATGTGACCTGTTTTTTTACGGTTGTTTGGCTTTTGCTTGTATTATTTACAAAAGTTCACATTTTAAGTTTAATTTGCTTTTAAACAGAAGAAAACTTCAAACCTTCCTGTTTCCCGAGGACGCCCCTAACCAGAGAAAACAGGTTTACTCACCTGGTACCAGTTTGATTTGGTGCATGCTTCTTGTTCTGTGGAAAAATCCCAGATTAGGCTGGATTAAGCTCAGGTGAACTCTGTCAGACAGAAAAGAAAATTCATCTCAAAACTCTGATAACATGTTTGGCCGGCAGACGTAAGAAGATCTTTGGTTTGAACTCACAGAGATCCGAACGCTGAGCAGAGAGGGAGTCGGATGGAGCACAGAACCGACCCGAACCCGGATCAGAGACAGAAACCCGCAGCTGACTCCAAACCGGACAGCAGCTGAATTTATAGGCATACGAAAGAGCAGAAAGGGATTTTTTATCAGGAACAAGTACACCAAGTACTTCATATCTACCGCAAACCGAGTGGTGATACTGGCTGTGATGATGTCACTCTGACCTGTCACACAGATGTCATTTCATCCAGACGCTCATTTAAACAAAAACTAGATTATTAATTCAGATGAACCTTTAATCTGAAGATTAAAGGCTTGATGCAGAACGTTTGAGTCCAGGGCGCTGGAGCCACAGGTGGCCCTTTGGACCTTCCGGTGTGACTCTTGGCTAAAAACCTTTTTCATGTTTTAAATATAACAAAAATGCAGATTTAAGCAGTGATTTCATGAATGATCATAAAAACACACAAACGACCCTTTTCTGCTGTAGAAAAAAAACACGTTTTTGTAAATATTTATTTTTCTTTTTAAAACCGAATGTAAAGAAAATGGTGGTTTTGATGAAACCCTCCTGGGATGCAGAACATCAGAACCCTTCTGGACTGGGGTAGGGTTTGGGTCTTCACCCAGGTGTGGCCCTCACCTGTGTTTGAGCTCCAGGAGAAATCAGCCATGTTCATGTCTCAGTTGCTGTGATCTGCCTGAAGCAGCATTTCTGATTTCTTCTCAGAGCCGTGTCTCGCTGAGCGGTCCGGTGCAATCCTGATTACAGAACAATCAGAACCCTGCTCCAGACCCATCTCTGAAGCGGTTGTGCTGCTCTTATCGTGCTTCCTGTACCGCCGCACAAGGACAAGCTGCTTCTGTCTCCTCATGATCATCTTTTTATCAGTTTTCTGATAGAGATAAAAACTGTCCTTTACTCTTTGTCCTGTTTGGTGGAAACAGAATCATCTTCGTAAAAAATATTTAACATTCACATTAAGCCTCGTGTTGCTTTTTAATGTGAGCTTTTATTTTTCCCATCATGAAAACTAAAGAAACCAGAAATGTGATTCTGCTGTCAGAGATGCTGAAACGAGGATTAGTCAGACATTAAAACCTCATATAGATAATATTTCCCAACTCAAAAGGGTTCAACGTGACACTTTATGCCTCTAGAATGTATAAAAATGTGCTTCATCAGAACGTGATCTCCGGCTCTAACGGGAGCGGTTCACAGCCGAGTGTGAAGCAGCTGGGATGAGAATCAGCTCCTCTAAATCTGAGACCATGGTCTTGAGTAGGAAAAGGGTCAGGGATGAGGTCCTGCCCCGAGTGGAGGAGTTTAAGAATCTCGGGGTCTTGTTCACGAGTGAGGGAAAACTGGAGCGTGAGATCGATAGGTGGATTGGTGCTGCATCTGCAGTGATGCGGGCGTTGTACCGGTCTGTCGTGGTGAAGAGAGAGCTGAGTCAGAAGGCGAAGCTCTCGATTTACCGGTCGATCTACGTTCCTACCCTCACCTATGGTCATGAGCTTTGGGTAGTGACCAAAAGAACGAGATCACGGATACAAGAGGCCGAAATGAGTTTTCTCTGCAGGGTGGCTGGGCTCTCCCTTAGAGATAGGGTGAGAAGCACGGTCATCCGAGAGGGGCTTGGAGTAGAGCCGCTGCTGCTCCACATTGAGTTGAGGTGGCTCGGGCGTCTGGTCAGGATGCCTCCTGGTCTCACTGGTGAGGTTTTCCGGGCATGTCCAACTGGGAGGAGGCCTAAAGGTAGACCCAGGACACGCTGGAGGGACATGTATCTCACCTGGCCAGGGAACGCCTTGGGATTCCCCCGAAGGAGCTGGCCCAAGTGGCTGGGGAGTGGGAAGTCTGGGACTTTGACTTAGGCTACTGCCTCGTGACCCGACTCCAGATGGATGGATGGATGGATGGATGATGTATGGATGGACGGAATGATGGATAGATTGATGGATGAATGGATGGATGGATGGATGATGGATGGACGGAATTATGGATGGATTGATGGATGGATGGATGGATGTTTGGATGATGGATGGATAGATGGATGGATGGATGATGAATGGATGGATGGATGGATGATGGATGGATGGAATGATGGATGGATTGATGGATGGATGGATGGATGTTTGGATGATGGATGGATGGATGGATGGATGGATGGATGATGGATGGACGGATGTTTGGATGATGGATGGATGGATGGATTGATGGGTGGATGGATGATGGATGGATGGAAGGATGGATGATGGATGGATGGATGATGAATGGATGGATGGATGATGGATGGATGATGGATGGATGGATGGATGAATGGATGGATGGATGGATGGATGGTTGGATGGATGGATGATGGATGGATGATGGATGGATGGATGGATGGATGGATGATGGATGGATGGATGGATGGATTGATGGATGATGGATGGATGAATGGATGGATGGATGGATGATTGATGGATGATGGATGGATGAATGGATGGATGGATGGATGATGGATGGATGGATGGATGGATGATGGATGGATGGATGGATGGATATGCTACAAGATGTTTTATGACACATCTCAGAGTTAGACTTTGACTCAAAGCTTCAGTCACATGACCCTGGACACGTGACTTGGGTTCTCTACACAAGTCATGATTTCTGTTTTCATTTCAAACTGATACAAAAGCACGGAGATTGTTGTATTTTACTTTAATGATCTCATTCATCTAAACAGACTTGTCCTCGTCTTCGTTTAGTTTGTTCTGTGATGGTTACTCAGTTCCTTCATTTGGTTCTTTTCTGAATATTAGAGATTGGTTATTCACCTTCTTGCTACGGATGCAGCCAAAACTTGTCAGCAAGGTGAACAATTATCCATTACTCTGTTCAGAAAAGAACCCAACAACGGAACTGAGTTGTTCTGTTTGTTCGTTCGTTGATTAAATCTGGTGTTTGTCTCCAAACTGAAAAAAGTCACAGATGGTTCAAAGACTTTAGAAAAGATCTCAAATGAGGTGAAATGTAGCTGTGGTGAAACTACCGATGAAGTTCGATAGGGGGCAGCAGAAGCTCAGGGGTACAGCATGTTGTCCAGTAATCCCAGTTGTAGGATTCATTCCCAGCTTCCGGCAGAGAATGCTGCCATTGTGTCCTTGGGCAAGAGACTCAACTCAGGTCTCTCAACCGGAGACACAAAGAGAGAGAGAGATGCTGAAGTCAGATACGTGAAGCAGCTTCAGGTGTGGTCGTTGCTGCTGACCCACACTGACCAGTCCCAGTACTAGCTGGGTTAGGGTTGGGTGTGTTTGCCCCGTTGTGTTCATGTTTATCTAATCAGCTGTCCTCAGTGACTGACAGGTCCACCAGCTGGAGCAACGGTATATAAACTCTGTGTTTAGTTCAGGAAGGCATCCTTCACCCAGAGACTGCTGCTGCTGCTGCTTGGATTCATCACAACAAGGTAAACCCTGACCTCTCTTCATCAGCTGTTACTGCTAGTGATGACATCCACGTCAGAGTTTTTAGAAAAGTCTTTTAATGTGGATTTTCCTCCTGAACACTAAAATGACACGTTCTACCCAGATGGCGTCAGGTCTGCTCTTCCTGCTGCTCCTCGGGATCGGAGGAAATGTGAGTCAGCAGAAGTTCTTCTGTAGTTAAATAATCAGCATGAATGTGACTTTGGTGGATTTATTTTCTCATGATGACCTGATGAGAAACCAACCAATGAAACGTGTTTAAAACCAACGAAGCAGAAGCTTCGTTCATGTTTTACAGACGATCCTCTTTCAGCTAAACGCTCAGATTTAAAATAACACCAATGATTTATCTTAGAGCTCCCAGCTCCACCAGTCCGACCAGTCCACATAGAAATGTGTTTCTACTGGCTTCATTCTGGTTCTGACTCTTTGTTTTTTACATCCACAGATGTTTTGTGAAGCTTTCGGTACAAGTAGGTTCTTTTTTATTTTACTGCAGCAGCTTCTCAGATGAAAGCATCGTGACTGTTTATGAAACTATAAAACATCTGATTTAGTTCATATTTTTTACAGATCGTGTCATCATATGTGAGCATTCAACGGTCCAGCTGACGTGTGGTAAGCCTCTGGTTTCCTCTGGCCTCACACAAACCCTTCAGGTTAGAAACCAGCTCATTTCTTTAGTGTTCGCTGGTGGAGACGGCGGTGAGGAACGTTTCCTGTCCCAGGATTCGTTAGTTTGTTATTTGGTGTCCTCCCAAAGTCATCTCACATCTTTTATTTTCTAGCTTGTAGAAACTAAACTTCCTGAAGCGCGTCACAGTCCAGGCTCGTTTGAGTAAAAGTCTCTTAGTCATAACTGTTAAATTCCTGCTGGACAGACACGAGCCTGGAACTCAAAGCAAATGAAGAAGCTTCATTCAGACTGAAGCTTTTCAGAAACACGATTCTTCCTTTTGTTTCAAACCTTCTGTCTTCTGAGACGCTTTTTAGCTACATTTTACTCCCGGAAAGTTTTGTGTTAAAACTGTTCTGCTTGACCTTTAACCTCAGCTCCAGGATTTGTCATCTCCATATTTTCTGCGGACTATGGACGTCATGACAAAACCACCTGCTCCGCCGGACGTCCTCCATCTCAGCTCCAAGACACCTCCTGCTCCACTATCTCTGATATTGTTGCTCAAAAGTACCGTTTCTCTCTTTTTCTCTGAAGTCCAGCATTAAAGCGGAGATAAAACTTTAATGTTCGGTTCTCCTGCTGCTCTTCATCCACAGCTGTAACGGGGAAAACAGCTGCAGCGTCACAGCCAGTAACGAGGTTTTTGGAGACCCCTGCTTTGGAACCTTCAAGTACCTGGACGTGATCTACAGGTGTCACTGTGAGTAGGAACCAGTTCAGTCCTGCAGTTTTGTGACATGAAACATTTTTGTACAACAGACTTAGTTTGTGGTTTTCTTCTTACAGATTGGTTCTTTCCCCGACATTGAATCAAGCACCAAGTTTGAGTCTCAGAAGAAACATCAATAAAACCACATGCATTCATGTCTTTGTCTTCATGGTTTCTTTTTTACAAACTAATATTAGACTTAAGGTGCAGTTTGGGTTATTTTTTGAGCGTTTTACTACAGGACTGGATTTTTCTGCACATACTGATATCGATGCCAAAGCTAATAAAAATGAATGTTTGGTCAAAAAAGAAAAAAAATTGAAAGTGATGGAGGAATCCTGCCCAATCATTGTGCTGGTCCCTGCTCTTATGATTGGATCAAACCGCTCCTCT